CATCAACAACAGCTGGAAGACTGTCATCTACCTGACTGAGACCTTCCTGGAAGATGAGCTCTGTTCCTTCACGCTCTCCCCGACAGTCTATGCTAGCACGAACCTCATGCCCAACAGGCTGATCATTGTGTACTCCGATGAAATCTTCGATCATCCGTTGCCACGAATCTTGACTCAGCTCCTGGATAGGGATAACAATTTTCCTTTGGAAACGTTTGATGACATTGAGCAATGGGATCAGTTGTGTTTGAAGGAACTGTGTTGGGTCTGAGATCAATTGCCCCGAATGTCCCGTGCTGTAAATGCCCCGTGCAAAAGAATGCCAAGAGAATATTGTCCTCAGAAGCAGATTCATTTATTTTTAAGGGACATGATGCATATTGTAAAGCGGCTACGTAAAACGGAAATTCTCTCAATGATACTTACCCAGAAGCATCTATTCAGAACATTTCACCAAACTAACATATAAGTATTCATCTTTGTTCCTAAATGTTTTCTAATACAGCACTTAGTCCTGTGTCTCAAGCTGCCTGAATGAAAATAGATATTAGCACTCCCAGTTTTCTGGCAAATTTGCATACCATTGAAAGTTTTATATGAGTAACTACCTTGCCCTTGTTTTGTGTACGTCTGAAATACTGTAAACATCTCTTGAATGACCTTGATGCTTGAAAGAACACTGACACAAGCTTAAGAGAACTGCTTAAAGGAATAACCCATACCCACATAATATTTCCATGTATAATGACTTTTGTCTTTTGAAGTGTAATATTATTTATTTTTTTCAATTTGCACTAGGGGCGGTGGGGTAGCCTAGTGGTCAAAGCGTTCGCTTGTGAGACAGACTGAGTAAAATAGTAAAATAGGTATGAGAATGTCCACCTGCTAATCTGCTCATGTAATGACCATAACAGACGCAGCGCCATCACACGTAAGACGCGTGTAGGGATAGCCTACTGGGTAAAGCGTTCGCTCGTCACGCCGAAGACCCGGGTTCGATTCCCCACATGGGTACTATGTTTGAAGCCCATTTGTGGCCTCTCCTGCCCTGGTATTGCTGGAATTGCTAAAAGCGGCGTAAAATCAAATCACTTACGCACATGTGCACTAGGTCGTATCATAGTATAAGTGGTACATTAGATTATTGTATAATTTTATTGAAGAGTTTTATATTGTTGTTCTAACACTCGATAAGAAGTAGCACATTTAGACTGCCATTTTCCAAAAATGGATTAGTTATTTCGTAAAATACCTTCATCTGTGTTATTGTGCACATGCTTTAGGAGTTCAACGTTCAGTAACAGCTTTCACGCCATCCTTCCTATTACAATCACCGTACCCATGCAAGCTGCGCAAAGAGTGTTACAAATAATGGAACGCCGCCCGGAGAGTTCAGCTGCTCTCTGTTATTGCAGAATTTCGGCTCTTCTGTTTTATAATATTCAAATTCACACTTACAGCAATATATCCATTGAAAGTATAGTATCTATGTTTCATTTTTCTTGTTAGTTTCATCCCCGTTCGGACATAAGTATGGGTCATAGGTATGGATGGACATGCCATGAGGTCTCATATTCCATTTCATGTCCTCCTCAAGTTTGGTTTTTCATATTGACATTTATTGACTGCTAAAGTTTTAATCTCTGACCCGTGAAGATCCGGGTTAGAATTGGTCTTCAGCAACCCATTCTTGTCGTAAGAGGCGACAAACGGGATCGGATGGTCAGTCTCACTGACTTGGTTGACATGTCACCGTATCCCAATTGAGCAGATCGAAGCTCATGCTGTTGATCACTGGATTGTCTGGTCCAGACTCGATTATTAACAGACTGCCGCCATATAGCTGGAATATTGATGAGTGTGGCGTAAAACTAAACTCACTCACTCACTAATCTCTGAACTGCTGCAACATCAGGCAGCCATATGCTACTCCATGAAGTGACTGTTATAATATATTGGTTAATCAACCACATGTACAAAAAATATATACTTGAACGTATGTTTCACGTTGGTTTTTTATAATCTCGGATTTGACATATGATTATATTTGTTGTATAGAGGCTTTCTGAATATATATGTAGCCCCCTTGTTTGTTACTAAGCGCCGCTTTCAGCAATTTTCCATCTGCATGACTGACTGACTGACTGAGTTTGGTTTTACGTCGCTTTTAGCAATATTCCAGCAACATCACGGAGGGGGGACACCAGAAATGGGCTTCACACATTGTACCCATGTGGGGATTCGAACCCGGGTCTTCGGCCAACCCTTTAGCCACTAGGCTACCCCACCGCCCCCCATCTGCATGAAAGCGGTCTGTAAATAAACGAGTCAAGAATAGTTTGTTTCCTATTATATGTGGTTTACTTCCTAATAGATTATACTTATTTCCTGTTATGTGATATTGGTATTTGTTTACTATTATGTGTTTGTTTCCTAATATATGATCTTTGTTTCCTTATATATGATATTGATATTTATGTCCTAATATTTGTTTGTTTCCTATTATATTGTATTCGCTTCCTAATATATAAAATTGATGTTTGTTTCCTAATATATGTTACATACGATACAGAAACACCAGAGAGTAAAATCATCTATATAATAATACTACCATTGTGAATATAATGTCCGCTGAAGACCATATTTCACTCAAAGGACTAGCTTCAGACATAGGCTAACAACACAATGTTCGAGTTAACAACCTAGTTTAGTCTTACAGCTATCATTATTTCCAGAGACACGGTGACAAGCTCTTATATAAGCAGTTTGGGAACTTTAGTCAACAGTTTAGTTAAAAAACCCGTGAACATCCGAAAAGGGGACAAGCTTGATTGGATATTCAGGCTCGTTAACTTGGTAGATGCATCTCACCGGATTCCAGTAACGCGATGCTCACATTGTCAATCACTGGATTGTCTGGTCGACTTTTTGCATACAGACCACCGTCATAGCCAGAATATTATACACACACATCAAACATGAAAAACATTATTTTACAAAGAGACTTGAAAATTGTTCCTGCCGTGTGGGTTCCTTTGCCCATAAGGGGCGGTGGGGTAGCCTAGTGGTTAAAGTGTTCGCGTTAAACCCAAGTCACTCACTCACTCACTCATTTGCCCATACGTTTCGAATCGTGATTGGTTACTTGCACCGGTGGCATCATCTGTTATGTTATGAACATCGTATTCATTTTAAAAAAAAATCCTGTTTTTATTCTTTGCATTGTTTATGTCTTTGGCGACACTCGAGTGCTTCTATATTAGACTGATGTTATAATCAAATCAGGTTATTGTTTGGCTACTGGTAAGCAAACCCATATGTAAATATCACAATTTTAACGATGTTTATACATATTCTTGAATAGTATTTTCCTTACATATTGTTTTAAGATCTTTAACATGTTGTTTAAAATCTTTTTCCTAATGTAACTGGCCTAATATGAAATAAAGGTGACTTGTATACACTATTTTGCTTTGAAATAAACTAATTTTCTTATTTAAAGAAACATGTTGACTGTAATTACCTGTCTGGACTTGAAGTACGTTGTCATGGGAACTTGGTGTAATGATGCCATTACCATTACATTTCGATACAAAACAAACGTGAACGCACTATTAGTTAGACGCTAAACCGTCATCATGATCATTATCAGTACCAGGAAAACTTTACCCGTGAAGATCTGGGTTAGAATTGATCTTCAGTAACCCATGCTTGTCGTAAGAGGCGACTTACGGGATCGGGTGGTCAGGCTCGCTGACTGGGTTGACACATGTCATCGGTTCCCAATTGTGCAGATCGATGCTCATGCTTTTGATCACCGGATTATCTAGTCCAGACTCGATTATTTACAGACTGCCGCCATATAGCTGGAATATTGCTGAGTGCGGTGTAAAACTAAATTCACTCACTCACCAGGAAAACACGATAAAACTTCTTTTGAAATTGTTGTGTATATCTGTCAAAATGCTGATGTGGAGAAACGGTTTAACGTCTCTGGAAATCCTGGAACCATTCCACAGTTGTTCAGCTCTTGCCCGGTGTGAAGAACATGGCATGTTGCAGTATGTAACCATGACATGTTTAGCTCAGGAGGTTTTATCCAGTATTCTTGATATTACATTGTGATATACAGTGAAACATTGTTGTCTCGGTCTTGGATATATCGAATGTACAGTTGTCACGAAGTAAAACCAGGCCCTACGTATTCCTCATTTTGACAACCGCCTCCGTGGTGTCGTGGTTAGAGCGTCCGCCCGGAGAGCGGAAGGTCGTGGGTTCGATCCCCGACCACGTCATACCAAATTACGTAAATATATGGTACTTGTTGGTCCCTGCCTGGCGCTCGGCATTAATGGATACAACAAGGACTGGTCGGCTCGTAGTCAGTATAATGGGTCTGTGTGGGGTATCCATGCTTCACTGCGGCATGGTATCTCAGTGGACTAGCACTATAAAACCAGCTTAAGTCTGGGCTAGTACAAGCAGCCCCACATACACATACACACGCATGCACGTCGTCATATGAGCGAAATTTCTCAAGCACGACGTTAAACCCAATTTCACTTCACCTCACCTCACCTCATCTTGACATCATTTTCCGGTTCTGTCGAACCTCGGATGACTCGAAGCATTACGTAGGTAACTTTCAACTTCGACACAACAGTGTTTGACCTTATTTCGAAGGTGAACAATGTTGATAATTGTAGACTACGCCCAAACAGAAACCTGCAACATGTCACTGCCCAAACAGAGGAAAATAGCCCGTTGATCCAGACAGTATCGCGTGTCTGGATCAGTTAGTTTCTGACGAGGCCTGTTTTACGTTGTAATAAAATAATTTCCTTAAAGCCTAGATGGACTCATTCTGTGAACATGTTTATGTCATGTTTATTACAACCAATTAAATACAACCAGGAACTAAATCACAATTCATGTCAAGGGACTTTATAACAAGGAAGTTCATTTTAACCCATGTCCTTCGTGTTCAATACTTTGAACAAAGAGCGCCATTAGCAAGTGAGTACTATTAGAAACCCTTCTGTGACTACTAACTACCAGTCTCTTGTGACGTCATGTTGAAGGTTAAGTTAAGGCTGGCTATCATTAGATGAACATTTGATAAATGAAGAAATTCACATCGCTGATCGGATGCATTTTGTGTGCTGAGCCACCTTTAACTTCCGTGTATGTTCAGCGGCTTATGAAGGAAATTTTAGGACATAATCTGTCAAAGTTAGGTAATACTGCTGAAACAAATATCTGCTCATGATATAGTCCCAGTTGTACAATCGACTCTGCTTTTGGCAGAGATTTCTTATGAATGTGGAAAGGGTTCTGTCGCTTCCATTTCCAAAAGTGTTAATTTTCCACATGAGGTCCACCAGGATTTATTGAGCTTAGCATCAGAGCGAATGTACACCTTAGTATATGACTGCCACATAGTTTTAAACTGCAGTTTGTTGTTTTACGCCACATAGCAAGTGATTGTGTCCTACTCTGTCCAACAATGCGGTTGTGTCATTATTATCCGGTTCTGTCGAACCTCGGGTAACTCGAAGTATTAACGTAGATCCCTTCAACTTCAACACAGAGGTGTTTGACTGAATATAATGGCGACGTGTAAGCAATCGACAAACATGTACAAATGTATAACTCGGTACCTGCCCCCTGGTCTGCACTGAGTGAGGGGAGAGTTTAGTTTTACGCCGCACTCAGCAATATACCAGCTATATGGCGGCGGTCACTCACTCGCTCACTCACTCACTCACTACTGATTTGGATTGAAAAGCAGGTAATGGAAAGAAACCAGCAAAAAATAGATTCGTACAATGAAACATCTACACACTACATCACGCTGTGAGATCCTCTATTCGATTTGAAAGAGATATTTAACAAGGTGGGGTGGGATTAGAGCACTTGACATACTTCTCATTGTCACTACTTCAAATGCCTTTCACAAGCTACATTAGATATATTAACAACGCTGGCAAAGCTTCTATTAATACGGACAGATCATCTGTAACAGTGTGCAGGATTTTGTATTATAGTCTATGGTTAATAGCAACCTTGAATATTCTTCCGGGAGGAAAACACGAGGTGAAATAGGTGTTTTGTTGGGTTATTAAAAAATTGTAATGAAACCCAGCACGGGCGTGGTCCTGTCAAACGTTTTTATGAAGAGTGAGCGAGTGTAGTTTTACGCCGTTTTAGCAATATTCCATCAATCACGGCGGGGGACACCAGAAATGGGCTTTTTCGTGAAGAAACTAACGCAAAGATATGTAGTGGTTGTTTCTTAGGGATTTATTATATACCTCTGATATCAAAGCTATTACAGTGTTAAGAATATTTGAAAATATACTAAGATCCAATTTTCCGACAGGTGGCATGTTACATATATCAAAGACCCGTGAACGTACCTGTTATAATTGGTCTTCAGTAGGCGACTAACGGGATCGGGTGGTCAGGCTTGTTGACTTGGTGGACACATGTCATCGTATCCCAGTTACGTAGATCAATGCTCATGCTGTTGATCACTGGATTTTTTGGTCCAGACTCGGTTATTTACAGACTGCTGCATATAGCTGGAATATTGCTGAGTGCGGCGTAAAACAACAAACAAACAAAACAAAATATATTACAAAAGTGAAACGGGCGATGTCGGTGTAGCATTGTTTATTTGACTTAGATACGAAACTATTAACACAATGTTTCCCTGTATTGAAGTGTGAATTTCCGGGGTAGAAAAAGATACATTGCTCAGGACAGTAGTTATGTGTGCACAATGAGGGTGTAGCTAAATTAAACACAACGAGTGTCCCGATAACAGGAAGTCATACCACAACACATCTTCCCATAATATCACGACCCGTGAAGAGCCTGGTTAGAATATTGATCTTCAATAACCCATGCTTGTCGTAATAGGCGAATAACGGGATCGGGGGCTTATGCTCGCTGACTTGTTTGCAACATCGTATCCCAGTTGTGTATATCGATGCTCATAATGTTGATCACTGGATTGTCTGGTTCAGACTCGATTATTTACAGACCGCCGCCATATAGCTGGAATATTGCTGAGTGCGGCGTAAAACAACAACCAACAAACAACCACCCAACCAGCCTCTGTAGCAAACCATGTGATGCTGAAGATAGTATCGCATCCTGGACGTGATCTTCAAAGAATATGTACATGTACGCTTTCAGTGGTGTTAAACAACAAACCAGCCAACCAATCCATAATATCACAACGATGGCTCATCATCTAGACTGACTGACTGAGTTTAGTTTTACGCCGCTTTTAGCAATATTCCAGCAATATCACGGCGGGGGACACCAGAAATGGGCTTCACTCACTGTACCCATGTGGGGATTCGAACTCGGGTCTTTGGCGTGACGAGCCAACGCTTTAACCACTGGACTACCCCACCGCCCCCTCATCATCTAGAAGCATAACGCAAGTGTTCATAACGGTAGTAAGATATTATTGGTAAAATATGGTGTAGGTTATAAAGTTTCAACAGACAGCATTAAAAATAATATGCGGAAAATACAGCTGCAAGTAGCGGTTCCATAATCCAAGAGATATTGTGCTCACTGACCTTGCCTAAAGTTCAAGGACGGTCTCATTGTGTCAACAAAAGCCTCCTGACAATGCTGTCATAGCAAGGCATAGTATGTACACTAGTTAAGTTTGTTTAAAATTGATAACCTTTCAAGGTTCAGGGTTGATGTTGTAGCCTGGTGGTTAAAGCGTCACTCGCTCATTTTAAGGTTCAGGGGTGATGGGGTAGCCTGGTGATTAAAGCGTCACTCACTCATTTTAAGGTTCAGGGGTGATGGGGTAGCCCTGTGGTTAAAGCGTCACTCACTCATTTTAAGGTTCAGGGGTGATGGGGTAGCCTAGTGGTTAAAGCGTCACTCACTCATTTTAAGGTTCAGGGTGATGGGGTAGCCTGGTGATTAAAGCGTCACTCACTCATTTTAAGGTTCAGGGGTGATGGGGTAGCCCTGTGGTTAAAGCGTCACTCACTCATTTTAAGGTTCAGGGGTGATGAAGTAGCTTAGTGGTTAAAGCGTCACTCACTCATTTTAAGGTTCAGGGGTGATGCAGTAGCTGCAAGAACTAATAGCCAGAGAACCCAAAGTTTCCAGATCAGTTAATTCCTGTTTTGTATCATTTGTTTTTACACATAAGAAAGAGGTTTCTGAAATCCTATGATTCGAGTTCCCTTCAAATTAATCCTTTGTTTATTGTACTTCCTGTTTGGATTACTTCCAGGTTCAGAAAGCTCGCTTTCCATGCAACAACACCTGAAACATTCACACTAAGCTTTGACTTTATTAGTGTCAACGATAATGTTATTTTATTATTTGTACTTCCAGTTTGCTTATTCTCTTGTTTCAATTGATCGTGTATATTGACTTGAAATGGGTCAATGTTTCTGGTGGTGGAGGGAATTCCCCGAGTTTCGTCATGACCTCATTAACATGTATCTATGCCGAGTTAACTGCAAAAGAAATGTTCGGGTCGGTCCTTTGGTGGGGGATCACTGAAGGTGTGGGGCTACGTCATGCGTGACGTATCGGTCGGATCGCATTACTGTACCTGAGACACTCAACGGTCAATGTTATGAACGGTACTGAATACTTCATTTTAATAACCACCCACTTGCCGGTTTATAGATGACAATGCTAGACCGTTCCCCAGCCGCCATCGCGCCATCGCACAATGCCATCTAAACATTACCATGGCCCACAAGGAGTCCCGATATGAAACCCATCCAGCATATACGGGACTGTGTTGGACGCCAAGTTCGAGGCAGATATCCCCATTCAGTGCTGCTTCATACAATCGCAACAATCTGTGTTTGGGAACTGTGTGACAATAATATTGGTGACGTAGTCATGGTGACCATACTTTTACGGCATTGTTGATATTCAAATCTTGTGATTGTATTTTCAGATTGCAAGTAAATTGTTACCAAACAATTTCAGTTTAGTTTTTGTTTTCATCAGAAACAAATATGTTAAAGTTTTTTATTTAAAATGTGGGATTTGGTTTTCAAAGCATGTACCGCAAGTAGTGTTTTCGTACATATAAATATATAAAGTGATGGTCCCTGATTAATGTCTATGTGTGTATTTCAACAGTGTTCTGCCTTCAATGCTCTGTGGAATCTGGCATAATCAAGATTGATTATCATATTGCATGGACGTTGTATATCCTACTGTATTATATATTTCTTTACCCCAGTAATAGCCGTTTTGATATAAGAGAAAACTTTAAGTGAGCTACAGAGCCTCTTTACATTTTTCTTCTCCTGCGCTCCAAACATAAGTAAGTGAGTTTATTTTTACGCCGCCTTTAGCGATATTCCAGCAGTATCACGGCGGGGGACACCAGTAATGGGCTTCACACATTGTATCCATGTGGGGAATAGAACCCGGGTTTTCGGCGTGAAGAGTTTAGTTGAGAGTACATCAGTTTAGCAGCATCTATTCATTTCAGGCATGATGCAGAACGAACTTCTCACAATCGTCACTCTATGGTTGATCGTCCCAGGGCTGCTTTCACAGATGGATGATATTAACAGGTGCGTGTACGAAGTGAACGAACGTGATTTAGTTGCCAACTGTTCTAGCAGAAACCTCACTGCAGTCCCCCAAGGATTTGTTAAAAATGTGACTGTCATTGATTTGACAATGAATAAAATAACAAGCATCGGAAAGATGTCCTTTCCTTACCCTCTGAAGGTACACACGCTCAGTCTGCATCAGAATCTGCTTACTCATCTTGATGAAGGTTCTCTGAAGAATTTACCAGAACTTTCGAAACTTGACCTTGGAGGAAACAGTATTAACTTCACATCTTTATCGTTACCGACAGGTCTCTTCAGAGGTCTTCCACTAAAACGCCTTTTAATGAGTAACATGAGTGGTATACTCAATGCGGAATACCCAGAGGATGCATTTCTTGATCTCCATCAACTGCAAGAGCTCTCCATTGACGCGCCTCCAAACCCAACATTTGGTGTTGGATTTCTCAATATGACAAATTTACAAACTTTAACCATTAGCTTTTGTGAAAAGGAAAGCTTAAATACAAGTGCATTTGAAGTTTTCCAAAAGTTTAACCTTTCAGCATTTCAGATAAATGCATGTGATATAGGGCAGGTTGATACAAATATTACTGATATATTTCCCAATTTAGATATCTTAGACATTAGGGACACGGTCGGCACCGATCTACCCAAGCGATTGATGAGTTTAAAGAATTATGAAAACTCATCCATGCAACGAGTTTCATTCATTAAAAACGTGGCGGGAGATAAGGATCCTACTGAATATTGTAACATGTTATCAAAAGATTTGACACGTTATCTTATCACAATGTGTGTTTCAGAAGTGTATCTTATTGGTAACAAAATACAAATCATTGAGAGAGGTACTTTGATTCAGCCACCATTTTCCGAATGCCTTCGCGTTTTAGATCTCAGTCACAACATGATCCTCGATGAGTATGGGATACTTGAAACGCTTTACTTTTATCCAAATTTGGTCTCATTTCACTTTGAACAATTTTTGGAAGATCTCAAACAGGTTTATCATCAAGTGTTTCATTTCTATGATGCAAGTTCAATTTTTCAAGACACAAATGAAACTGTATGGCCACCACACAACCCCGAAACATGTCTCTTCACTGTGGGTGCTGAAAAACGAGACAATGAAGTTATTCTACAAAATGAACGTAGTAAAAGAGAGATTTTGATTTTGGTATTTCCTCGAAATCTGACCTCGCTTTATTTTGCACCATCATTAAAACCTTTTGCTAATATCGAACATAATCTGGTTTTTTGGGGAACTGAAAAATGGTCAAAAGTGCGTTTTTCCAACTGTTCGGTACTTGCAAAAAATGTCAAGTTCTTTGGACTAGAGAACCTTAAAAGTTTGGAAATTTCTGGCAACGGATTTACAGAACTACCAACAACATTTATGAAATCCTTCCCCAATATTCAAAATCTGTCATTGAACCATATCACACACGGATTTGGGGAAATAAGTGAAAACATAGACTCTGTATTGGGACACTTTGAACACCTTGAAAATCTACACCTTTTAGGTAATGGTCTTTCCGATTTGCCCAGAAATGTAGAGAACTTAACAAATATCAAACTAATAGATGTCTCATATAACTCAATAAAGGAACTGAGTGTGGGAACAAGAACCAGACTAGATGCTATGACTCAGAAGAAAAACTTATCGGTTAATCTTCGTGGTAATGTTCTCTCGTGTGGATGTGATTCTCTTGAATTTATTCTGTGGTCAATGGACTCAAGGGTACATTTCGCTGACGATAAACATTACACGTGTCGAAATGATAATGGGACTATAATCCATGTAACAGATATTGCACATTCATTCATGAAAATGTGGAGAGAGTGCATTTCTTTGTTCTCACTTTTGTTTTCAATTTGCCTCGTTTTCCTATTCCTCTTAGGAGTTTCTCTAAGTCTTCATATTGCAAGAAATATCAATTTGATAAAGCGATGGAGTGTCAGATGGTTAGGCTTGGACTTCCAGCGACATTTTAAGTATGATGTATTTGTGTACTACTCATCCAAGGAAGACCCTCAGTGGGTGTGTAGCACCTTGAGACAGAAGCTGGAAGATGAAAGGGAGCTTCGTCTCTGTATCCCTGAAAGAGATTTCGATCCAGGAGTCTACACCTGTGAGGAGGTTCTCGGTGCCATAAATCAAAGTTGGAAGACTATTATCTATCTGACCCAGACCTTCCTGGAGGACGAGCTATGCTCCTTCAGGCTTTCATCTGCTATTTATGTCGGTGAGAACCTGACGTCTGATAGATTCATCATACTGTACTCGGATGCTGTGTTCCGTCACCCACTCCCTTCTATCATTAACCAACTTCTGGATAAAGACAACAGGTTTCCTATAGAGAGGTTCCATGAGAGTTCATTATGGGATCAGCTTCACAGCAGGATCTTGTGTAAGGATTGACAGTAACATTGGCGTTTCTGTTTCCGAAAAGCAAGTATCAATACACAATGTCATTTAGAAAGACCCGAAGAATGAACCTTCAGTAACCCATGCTTGTCGCAAGAGGCGCCTAACGGGATCGGGTGGTCAGACTCGCTGACTTGGTTGACACATGTCATCGTATTCTAGTTGTGTAGATCGATGCTTTTGCTGTTGATCACCGGATTGTCTGGTTCAGACTATTATTAACAGCCCGCTACCATATAGCTGGAATATTGCTGAGTGCGATGTTTAACAACCAGCATCCATCCATCCGAGACGGTACCCTTTGTATGGCGTGAGTGTATTATAGATGTATAACATAAATAACGTAACGCAAAGAAATAATTTTTTGTACAGTATTTTCTCTTTCGTAAAATATCCTCCGGTAAATTTGATTTGTTGTATTTATTAACTTTTTGTTTGTTGCTTTTTAGGGATCCATTGCTTTAGCTTTGACGATCCTGGATCCTGTGATCTAGTGCGTCTGCATATGCATTGTACTGACTGACTGACTGAGTTTTGTTTTACGCCGCTTTTAGCAATATTCCAGCAACATCATGGCGGGGGACACCGGAAATGGGCTTCACACATTGTACCCATGTGGGGATTCAAACCCGTGTTTTAACCACTAGGCTACCCCACCGCCCCTATGCACTGTATAAATGATCTGTACTAACATGTTATATGTAACTTATGTAGGTTCTAATAAAATTGTGAAGCCTTATTGATATGTTGTAGTGCATTTTGCCGACACTAAAAATTGTAGACACATTTCTCTTATCAATTCCGCAATCTGACTCTGCAACTGGCAGGGAAACGACCCACCTCACTCACCCACCAATATATGATTTAGCTGGAATATTGCTGTACTCAACGACTCTGCTACTAGCAGCAAAACGACCCAGTTCACTCACCCACCGGGACGGTGGGGTAGCCTAGTGGTTAAAGCGTTCGTTCGTGACGGTGAAGGCCCAGGTTCGATTCCCCAAATGGGTAATGTGTGAAGCCCATTTCTGATGTCCCCCGCCGTGATATTTCTGGAAATTGATAAAACCTTACTCACTCACACACCAATGTGAAGTGAATGAGTGAGTGAATGAGTTAAAAGGTAATGTTGCATCGGCATTATTTCGCTATGATGTCATCAGTATTGCAGCTAAACACATGCAATAAATGATCGCTTCTGGGCAAAATAATCCAGAGATGAACATTATAGGGTGGTGGGGTATTATAGGGGTGGTGGGGTAGCCTAGTGGTTAAAGCGTTCGCTCGTCACGCTGAAGATCCGGGCTCGATTTCTCATATGGGTACATTGTGTGAAGCCCATTTCAGGTGTCCCCCGCCGTGATATTTCTGGACTATTTGCTAAAAGCGGCGTTAAACCCAAGTCACACACTCACTCACTCATTTGCCCATACGTTTCGAATCGTGATTGGTTACTTCCAACGGTGGCATCATCTTCTTTGAGTGGCATTTTAGAAGTTGGGAAGTACAATATAGAACAAACTTTATGGATAACAACTTCTTTTTATTCGTGAGTGCGACGTTTCGATACAGATTCTTGTACCGTTGTCAAGCATAATGGAACCGTGAAGAAGGGGGAAGTATATATATACTGGATGTAACAATGTAACAAAGAAAACAACATAATTAACATAATTGGCTAGGCAGAAAGCTGATGAAGCCAGAGAGTAGACAAAGGACAGGCGTGGAAGCCAATGATGTACAAATAATAATGAGATGTTTATACCATAACAGGTGTTTATACCATAACAGGTGTTTATACCATAACAGGTGTTTATACCATAACAGGTGGCATCATCTGTTATGTTATGAGCATCGTACTCATTATTTTAAAAATTCCTGTTTTTATTCTTTGCATTGTTTATGTATTTGGCGACTCGAGTGCTTCTATATTAGGCTGATGTTATAATCAAATCAGGTTATTGTTTGGTAATTGGTAAGCAAACTCATATGTAAATACCATAACGATGTTTATACATATTATTGAATAGTATTTTCCTTACATATTGTTTTAAGATTTTTAAAATATTATTTAAAAGCTTTATGCTAATGTAACTGGCCTAATATAAAATATAGGTGACTTGTATACACCATGTTGCTTTGAAATAAACTAAGTTTCTTATTTAAAGAAACATTTTTACTGTAATTACCTGTCTGGACTTGAAGTACGTTACCATGGGAACTTGCCATTATCATTACATTTCGATACAAAACAAACGTGAACGCACTATTAGGTAGACGCTAAACAGTCATCATGATCAATATCAGTACCTGGGAAACTGAAGATCCGGGTTAGAATATTGATCTTCAGTAACCCATGCTTGTCGTAAGAGGCGACTAACGGGATCGGGTGGTCAGGCTCACTGGCTTGGTTGACACATGTCATCGTATTCCAACTGCGTAGATCGACGCTCATGCAGTTGATCACTGGATTGTCTGGTCCAGACTCGATTATTTCCAGACCGCCGCCATATAGCTGGAATATTGCTGAGTGCGGCGTAAAACTAAATTCACTCACTCACCAGGAAAACACGTTAACACTTCTTTTAAAATTGTTGTGTATATCTGTCAAAATGCTGATGTGGTGAAACGGTTTAACGTCTCTGGAAATCCTGGAAACCATGCCACAGTTGTTCAGCTCTTGCCCGGTGTGAAGAACATGGCATGTTGCAGCATGTAACCATGTTTAGCTCAGGAGGTTTTATCCAGTATTCTTGATATTACATTTTGGTATACAGTGAAACATTGTTGTGTCGGCCTTGAATATGTCTAGCCTACAGCTGTCCCGAAGTAAAACCAGGCCCTACGTATTCCTCATTTTGACAACCATGCAGATCCGTGTTAGAATTGGTCTTCAGCAACCCATGCTTGTCTTAAGAGGCGACTAACGGGATGGGGTGGTCAGGCTCGCTGACTTGGTTGACACATGTCATCGTATCCCAGTTGGGTAGATCGATGCTCATGCTGTTGATCACTGGATTTTCTGGTCAAGACTCGATTATTTACAGACCGCCGCCATATAGCTGGAATATTGCTTAACTCACTCGCCACATCTTAACATTATTTTCCGGCTCTGTCGAACCTCTGATAACTCGAAGCATTTACGTAGGTCCCTTCAACGTCGACACAACAGTGTTTGACCGTTTGTCGAAGGTGAACAATGCTGATAATGGTAGACTACGTTCTAGCAGAAACCTGCAACAGGTCATTGCCCTAACAGAGGAGAACAGTCCCGTTGATCCAGACACTACCGCGTGTCCGGATCACTGAGTTTCCGACGAGGCCTGTTTTAAGGTGTAATAAAACTTCCTTAAAGCCTAGATGGACTCATTCTGTAAACATGTTTATGTCATGTTTATTACAACCAATTAAATACAACCAGGAATTAAATCACAATTCATGTCACGGGACTTCACAACAAGAAAGTTCATTTTACCCCATGTCCTTCGTGTGGAAGAAAAAGCGCCATTAGCAAGTGAGTACTATTAGAAACCCTTCTATGACTACTAGCTATCAGAGTCTTGTGACGTCATGTTGAAGATTAAGTTAAGGCTGGCTATCATTAGATGAACATTTGATAAATGAAGAAATTCACATCGCTGATCGGATGCATTTGGTGTGCTGATAGCCACATTTAACTTCCGTGTATGTTCAGCGGCTTATGAAGGGACTTTTAGGACATAATCTGTCAAAGTTAGGTAATACTGCTGAAACAAATATCTGCTCATGATATAGTCCCTATTGTACAATCGACTCTCCTTTGGGCAGAGATTTTTTAAATATTTTTTTTATCTGTTTTTATTCCATTTTAAGTTGCATGTACAGACAGAAGTGTGACATGTGTTGACATTTACATCATAAAGTTAGTACAAAATTGTATACACATATGAGGGTGTACATATATAGATAAATAGGAGCTAGGTGAAAATATTATTACTGCAGTGGACACAATAGTTTGAGTAGGTCAAACTGCATGTGTGCTAAATTAAAATGTCAGAGTAACGTATCTAAGTGTTGCCATTTTCTAGTAAAACAACTAAATTTATTATTTTTCATTGCAATAAACCTTTCGATATAGCATATGTCTTTAAGTAACTTGAGAAATTCTGCAAAGGATATATTGCTGTTTCAGGCTTGAAGTATAGATTAATCTTTTTGCAAGTAGTAAAATGTGATTTACTACTTGGTTATTTGAGGGCGGTCCCAACATAATGATGAATTTCAAGCCATAAGTACCGAACAAATTGACATTCAAAGAAGACATGTGATATATCTTCTGAGGCGGTTTTACAAAATGAAAATGTATCATCATCAACTAACTTCATTTTCAATAATTCTTTTTTTGTATAAATTATTCTGTTTATAAATCTGTATTGAAAGTCTAAGAGCTTACAGTCATTTGTACATTTCCTATAATAGCTAAATACATCTTTCCAGTCAATCTGATGTTGAAAGTCAGTGTTCCAATATTCTAAGGACTTGGGTCTTAATTAGTTCGTCATAGAATATCCTTGAGCCTTTAGCATTACAGATAATATATTTGCATATATTATTGATATGTGGTTGATCGAATGTAAATGTTGTGTTTCTTATCTGATGTCTCCAGTTATTTGGAATGTTGTTTAACAAGTGTTGATAGTCTAAGAAAGTTCCCTGTATTTTATATCTCTGTTTTAAATTTTCAAAACTTAGAAAGCCATTTTCATCACATATATCTTTTATACTATGTATACCGCGACTAGAGCAGTTTTTGATAATATGTGATGATTTAAAGAAATGGTTCAACCAAAGTGGTTGAGTCAAGATTTGGTCTGCATCATTTTCCTCAAAAGTAATTTTCCTATAGAATATCCTCCAAACAGAACGTCTCTCCAATAAGGATTATCATGGTCAGATAAACAGTCAACAGCATTGGAGCCTAGTGAGAATAAATGAATTACAGGAAAGATGTTTATCGATTCTATATTTTTGTTTATATAGATTTTCAGTGAGGATAATTTCAAAGCATTAATGAAACATTCTATATCGATCATTCTGAGACCTCCATCTTGATAACCTCTGTTTATAGTTGATCTCTTTATTTTGTCGTTTTTATTTTTCCATAAAAATCTATATATTGTTTTATTGAGTTCTTAAATGAATGATTTAGGTGGGTTGGGCAGTGCAGAGAAAATGTGTTTTAATAACAGTGATTTTTCCAATAAGAGTCAAATTTCTTCTGCGCCAGTTGGCAAGTAATCTTGGGCAGAGATAGTTTTGAATGTGGTAAAGGTTTTGTCGCTTTTATTTACAAAAGTATTAATTTTCCACAAGTACTTTTTAAACTTAGCATCAGAGCGAATGTACACCTTAGAATGACTGCAGCATAGTATACTCATGCCAATAATGGTTGTCACCCCCTTCAATGTTTTTAATTGGAGAGGGGGTGTGGGGTGGCTGTGTGAGGTGTGTGGGGGGTTGGGGTTGAGGTGTGGGGGTTGGGAGGGAGGGGGTGACAATCATTAATGGCATGAGTATATTAAACTGCAGTTTGTTGTATTACGCCACACATAATGGCGACCCGTAAGCAATCGACAAACATGTATAAATGTGTAACTGGGGACCCTCGGGTCTCCACTGAGTGAGTGGGTGAGTTTAGTTTTACGCCGCACTCAGCAATATACCAGCTATATGGCGGCGGTCACTCACTCACTACTGATGTGTGTTGGTATGATATGGAGTTGAAAGGCAGGAAATGGAAAGAAACCAGGAAAATATAGATTCGTCTAAGGAAACATCTACACACTACATCACGCTGTGAGATCCTTTGTCCCGTTTATGAGAGATATTTAACAGGGCAGGGTGGGATTAGAGCACTTGACATACTTCTCATTGTCACTACTTCAAATGCCTTTCACAATCTGCTTTTGACATATTGACAACGCTGGCAAAGCTTCTATTCATATATTTATTCAGTGTGCGGGATTTTGTATTATAGTCTGTGGTTAACAGCACCTTGAATATTATTTCTTCGTCAGTTATTCCAGCAGGAAAGCACGAGGTGAAATAGGTGGGTTGTTTTTAAAAACCAAAAACCAAAGTGTAATTAAACCCAGCACGGGCATGGTCCTGTCAAACGTTTTCCATGAAGAGTGAGTGAGTGTAGTTTTACGCCGTTTTTAGCAATATTCCATCAATATTACGGCGGGGGACACCAGAAATGGGATTTTTCGTGAAGAAACTACCGCAATGATATATAGTGGTACTTGTTAAGTATTCATTAAGAAGCCATTACAGTGTTAAGAATATGTGAAAATATATTAAGATCCAATTTTCCGACAGGTGGCATGTTACATATATCAAAGACCCGTGAACATCCCTGTTATAATTGGTCCTCAGTAACCCATGCTTGTCATAAGAGACACCTAACGGGATCGGGTGGTCAGGGTTGCTGACTTGGTGGACACACGTCATCGTATCCCAATTGCGTAGATCAATGCTCATGCTGTTGATCACTGGATGGTTTGGTCCACACTCGATTATTTACAGACTGCTGCATATAGCTGGAATATTGCTGAGTGCGGCGTAAAACAACAAACAAAGAAAACAAAATATGTTACAAAAGTGAAACGGGCGATGTCGGTGTAGCATTGTTCATTTGAATTTGGTGGGAAACTATGAACACAATGTTTCCCTGTATTTAAGTGTGAATTTTCGCGGCAGAAATAAATACATTGTTCGGGACAGTACGCTAACTCAGATCTGTGCGCCCAATTAAGGTGTAGGTAAATTGAACACTGTCCAACAACGACTGTCCCGATAACAGGAAGTCACACATAGACATCTCTTCCCTTAATATCACGACCCGTGAAGATCCGGGTTAGAATTGGTCTTCAGTAATCCATGCGTGTCGTAAGAGGCAACTAACGAGATAGGGTGGTCAGGCTTGATTGACACATGTCATCGTTTTCCAGTTGCGTAGATCGATGCTCATGCTGTTGATCACGGGATTGCCTGGTCCAGAATTGATTATTTACAGATACAGCTGGAACATTGCTGAAAAACTAACCAGCCAACCATATCACAACAATGGCTCATCTAGAAGCGTAAAGCAAGTGTTCATAACGGTACGCAAAATATTATTGGTAAAATATGGAGTAGGTTATAAAGTGTTAACAGACAGCATTATAAGATATTGTTAAAAATAGTATGCGGAAAATACAGGTGCAAGTAGCGGTTCCCTGATCCAAGAGATACTGTGAACGTTGATATCATGCTGGACGTGTATCGATAACCAAGGAAGCGCGTATTTGTATCATTTGTGTTAACAATTAAGAAAGAGGTTTCTTAAATTCCATGATTCGAGTTCCCTTCAAATTAATCCTTTGTTATTAGTACTTCCTGTTTGGATTACTTCCGGGTTCAGAAAGCCCGCTTTCCATGCAACAACACCTGAAATATTAACCCCAAGCTTTGACACTATTAGAAGTGTCAACGATAATGTGATTATTCGTACTTCCTGTGAGATTATTCTCTTGTATTGGTCGTGTATATTGACTTGAAATGGGTCAACAATTAAGGTCCATCGGGAATTCCCCGAGTATCGCCATGACCTCATTAGCATGTATCTATGCCGAGCCAACTGCAAAAGAAATGTTCGGGTCGATAGATAAACATTAAAACTCAAAATTCTTACCAGTAGGGAACCCACTTCAAAAGACGCTTACGAGACATAAGGCTCGGAGAAAACCGAACTTCAGGGCATGGCAGATGTTTCATTGGTTTGGTGAAAGTCTACTACGCGAAACTGACGGCCGTTGTCGCGTATGGAGACGTCGCAACGAGGAACATCACGACTGGAAGATCATGCAGCTAAACTCTTCGGTGGTTGATCCAGTGTGCGAAATAGTTTCCAATTTTTGCTAGCCAGTCTTAAAGTTACAAGCCAACAAAATAATTCACTAGTACGAAATTTGAATGTAGACACGGTTTGCATCATTTTTATCAGGCCATAATCTTGCATGATTTACAAGTGTGTTATAACTTAACACGTCGGAGAGACTGATATAAATGACTCAATAAAAAATTCACTATCCATGTGAGGAATCGAAACCGGATTTTCAGTGTGACGAGCGAACGTTTTAACCACTAGGCTACCCCACCACCCCGAACATAAGTAACATACAAAACTACATTGAGACCGTAAATGTGAAGAAAGATATGAAGCTCTGTGTCACTAGAGTTACACTGTAGTTGAGAGTACATCATTTTAACAGCATCTATTCATTTCAGGCATGACAATGGACGAACTTCTCATAATCGTCACTCTATGGTTGATCGTCCCAGGGCTGCATTCACAGATGGATGATATTAACAGGTGCGTGTACGAGGAGAACGAACGTGATTTAGTTGCCAACTGTTCTAGCGGAAACCTAACTGCAGTCCCCCAAGGATTTGTTAAAAATGTGACTGTCATTGATTTGACAATGAATAAAATAACAAGCATCGGAAAGATGTCCTTTCCTTACCCTCTGAACGTACACACGCTCAGTTTGCATCAGAATCTGCTTACTCATCTTGATGAAGGTTCTCTGAAGAATTTACCACAACTTTCGAAACTTGACCTTGGAAGAAACAGGATTAACTTCACATTGTTACCAACAGGTCTCTTCAGAGGTCTTCCACTAAAATGCCTTTTAATGAGTAACATGAGTGGTATACTCAATGCGGAATACCCAGAGGATACATTTCTTGATCTCCATCAACTGCAAGAGGTCTCCATTGACGCTCCTCCAAACCCAACATTTGGTGTCGGATTTCTCAATATGACAAATTTACAAACTTTAACCATTAGCTTTTGTGAAAAGGAAAGCTTAAATACAAGTGCATTTGAAGTTTTCAAAAGTTTAACCTTTCAGCATTTCAGATAAATGCATGTGATAAAGGGCAGGTAGATGAAAATATTACTGATATATTTCCCAATTTAGATATCTTAGACATTAGGAACACGGTCGGCACCGATCTACCCAAGCGATTGATGAGTTTAAAGAACTATGAAAACTCATCCATGCAACGGGTTTCATTCATAAAAAACGTGGGGGGAGATAAGGATCCTACTGAACAGTGTAACATGTTATCAAAAAATGTCACACGTTATCTTATCACAATGTGTGTTTCAGAAGTGTATCTTATTGGTAACAAAATACGAATCATTGACAGAGGTACTTTGATTCAGCCACCATTTTCCCAATGCCTTCGCGTTTTAGACCTCAGTCATAACATGATCCTCGAAGAGTATGGGATACTTGAAAAGCTTTACTTTTATCCAAATTTGGTCTCATTTCACTTTGAACAATTTTTGGAAGATCTCAAACAGGCTTATCATGAAGTGTTCCATTTCTATGATGCAAGTTCAATATTTCAAGACAAAAATGAGACTGTATGGCCACCACACAACCCCGAAACATGTCTCTTCACTGTGGGTGCTGAAAAACGAGACAATGAAGTTATTCCACCAAAGGAAAGTAGTCAAAGAGAGATTTTGATTTTGGTATTTCCTCGAAACCTGACCTCGCTTTATTTTGCACCATCATTAAAACCTTTTGCTAATATCGAACATAATATGTTTTTTTTTGGTACTGAAAAATGGTCAAAATTGCGTTTTTCCAACTGTTCAGTACTTGCAAAAATGTCAATTTCTTTGGACTAGAGAACCTTCAAAGTTTGGAAATTTCTGGCAACGGATTTACAGAACTACCAACAACATTCATGAAATCCTTCCCCAATATTCAAAATCTGTCATTGAACCATATCACACAGGGATTTAGGGAAATAAGTGAAAACATAGACTCCGTGTTGGGACACTTGGAACACCTTGAAAATCTGCACCTTTTAGGTAATGGTCTTTCCGATTTGCCCAGAAATGTAGAGAACTTAACAAATATCAAACTAATAGATGTCTCGTATAACTCAATGAAGGAACTGAGTGTGGGAGCAAGAACCAGACTAGACGCTATGGCTCAGAAGAAAAACTTGTCGGTTAATCTTCGTGGTAATGTTCTCTCGTGTGGATGTGATTCTCTTGAATTTATTCTGTGGTCAATGGACTCAAAGGTACATTTCGCTGACGATAAACATTACATGTGTCGAAATGATAATAGGACTATAATCCATGTAACAGATATTGCAGATTCATTCATGAAAATTTGGAGAGAGTGCATTTCTTTGTTCTCACTTTTGTTTTCAATTTGCCTCGTTTTCCTATTCCTCTTAGGAGTTTCTCTAAGTCTTCATATTGCAAGAAATATCAATTTGATAAAACGATGGAGTGTCAGATGGTTAGGCTTGGACTTCCAGCGACATTTTAAGTATGATGTATTTGTGTACTACTCATCCAAGGAAGACCCTCAGTGGGTGTACATGTGTAGCACCTTGAGACAGAAGCTGGAAGATGAAAGGGAGCTTCGTCTCTGCATTCCAGAAAGAGATTTCGAGCCAGGAGTCTACACCTGTGAGGAGGTTCTCGGTGCCATAAGTCAAAGTTGGAAGACTATTATCTATCTGACCTAGACCTTCCTGGAGGACGAGCTATGCTCCTTCAGGCTTTCGTCTGCTATTTATGTCGGTGAGAACCTGACGTCTGATAGATTCATCATACTGTACTCGGATGCTGTGTTCCGTCACCCACTTCCTTCTATCATTAACCAACTGCTGGACAAAGACAATAGGTTTCCTATAGAGAGGTTCCATGAGAGCTCATTATGGGATCAGCTTCACAGCAAGATCTTGTGTAAGGATTGACAGTAACATTGGCGTTTCTGTTTCCGAAATGCAAGTATCAATACACAATGTCATTTAGAAAGACCCGAAGAATGAATCTTCAGTAACCCATGCCTGTCACAAGAGGCGCCTAACGGGATCGGGTGGTCAGACTCGCTGACTTGGTTGACACATGTCATCGTATTCCAGTTGTGTAGATCGATGCTTTTGCTGTTGATCACCGGATTGTCTGGTTCAGATTATTATTAACAGCTCGCTACCATACAGCTGGAATATTGCTGAGTGCGGCGTTTAACAACCAGCATCCTTCCATCCGAGTCAGTACCCTTTGTATGGCGGTAGTGTATTATAGATGTATAACATAAATAACGTAATGCAAAGAAATAAGTTTTGTACAGTATTTTCTCTTTCGTAAAATATCCTCCGGTAAATTTGATTTGTTGTATGTATTAACTTTTTGTTTGTTGCTTTTTAGGGACCCATTGCTTTAGCTTTGACGATCCAGGATCCTGTGATCTAGTGGTTCTGTATATGCATTGTATAAATGATCTGTACTAACATGTTACATGTAACTTACGTAGGTTCTAATAAAAAATTGTGATGCCTTATTGATATGTTGTGGTACATTTTGCCGACACTAAAAACTGTAGACACATTTCTCTTATCAATTCCGTACTCTGACTCTGCAACTGGCAGGGAAACGACCCAGCTCACTCACCCACCAATATGTGATTTTGCTGGAATATTGCTGTACTCAACGACTCTGCTACTAGCAGGAAAACGACCCAGCTCACTCACCCACCGGGACGGTGGGGTAGCCTAGTGGTTAAAGCGTTCGTTCGTGACGTTGAAGGCCCAGGTTCGATTTCCCAAATGGGTAATGTGTGAAGCCCATTTCTGGTGTCCCCCGCCGTGATATTTCTGGAATATTGATAAAACCTTACTCACTCACACACCAATGTGAAGTGAATGAGTGAGTGAATGAGTTAAAAGGTAATGTTGCATCGGCATTATTTCGGTTGAACGCTATGATGTCATCAGTATTGCAGCTAAACACATGCAATAAATGATCGCTTCTGGGCAAAATAATCCAGAGATGAACATTATGAGCAGCGGTCTACGCGGCTGGGGCACGATGACATTCATCAACAAAGTAAGGTGGCCTGACCACCGAGACACGTTACTAACCTCTTACGACCATCATGCGTTGCCCAAGATCAATTCCGAACTGGTTCGTCACTCGGTACAAGGAAAACAACGCTTCCCAGTCCGCGTTAATGTAGTTAAGTAAAAAAATGCTATGCGTAAAAGGTTACACATATATGATCAGTGAGTGAGTGAGTGAGTGAGTGAGTAAGTTTAGTTTAGTTTTACGGCGCTTTTAGCAATATTCCAGCAATATCACGGCGGGGGACACACATTGTACCCATGTGGGGAATCAAACCAGTGTCTTCGGCGTAACGAACGAACGCTTTAACCACTAGGCCACACCACCGCCCCTCATGATCAGTGACGACACCAGGTGTTCTCAAAACGGGGAACGCATATTTTGCTCAAACCCATGTACCCGCCAATGACACAATTAAAAAAAAGTGGCTGTTGCTGTACTTCGCACCAGTACACATGCTATACACAAAACAAACATGACATTGACTTATAAACTTTAATAACAAAACTTCAGGACATGATACACGTAATACAGGTTCATGATACGATGGGAAGGGGATAACACTGGACATACATCTTTGGAAAAACACCTGAAACATTGATTGAGTTTAGTTTTACGCCGCACTCAGCAATGTTCCAGCTATATGACAGCGGTCTGTAAATAATCGAGTCTGGACCAGACAATCTAGTGATCAACGTCATACCGGGATACGATGACATGTGTCAACCAAGTCAGCGAGCCTGACCACCCGATCCCGTTAGTTGCCTCTTACGACAAGCATGGGTTAATGAAGATCAATTCTAACCCGGATCTTCACGGGTAACCTGAAACATGTACACCAGTATGTGAGTGACATAGAGGTGGGGAGCCCTGATGGCACCTTGACAGCAGCGACGCATGGAAGCAATCAAACGTTGCACAACATTTTGGAGAATGTTATGCCACACAAACTGGAGTACCGCAATGCATCCCGCAGATGTTTGACTGGAGACGACGCCGGCAACAGGCAGGCCAGGGTAATGTGTGAACGTTGTGACGCTGCAGAAACTCGTGGAACATGGAACGTGTCGTTGTCATGCTGGAACAGTCCACCGTCGACGATCATGTGCAGGATGACGTGGTGTTGCAGGATAACGTCCAGAATGATACCCGTTTGCGTACCTGCCACAAGCACCAGAGCCGTGAAATCACCATGACTGAATACCGCCCACAACATTACACTTCCACCAACAAAACGATCGTTGCATGCAGGCTAGAGCATCACGTTCCCCTCAACGTCTATAGACACGTGAGCGTCTATCATCACGTGACAGGAGAAAACGAGGCTCGTCTGAGAACAAACATTCCTCTCATCCTTTGTTGGCAACACTGCCTAGTGGTTAAAGCGTTCGCTCGTCACGCTGAAGATCCGGGCTCGATTCCTCACATGGGTACATTGTGTGAAGCCCATTTCTGGTGTCCCCCGCAGTGATATTTCTGTAATATTTGCTAAAAGCGGCGTTAAACCCAAGTCACTCACTCACTCATTTACAAATACGTTTCGAATCGTGATTGGTTACTTGCAACGGTGGCATCATCTGTTATGTTATGAACATCGTACTCATTTTCAATTTTTTTCCTGTTTTTATTCTTTGCATTGTTTATGTATTTGGCGACTCGAGTGCTTCTATATTAGGCTGATGTTATAATCAAATCAGGTTATTGTTTGGTTATTGGTAAGCAAACCCATATGTAAATATCATAACGATGTTTATACATATTATTGAATCGTATTTTCCTTACATATTGTTTCAAGATTTTTAACATATTGTTTAAAAGCTTTTTGCTAATGTAACTGGCCTAATATGAAATAAAGGTGACTTGTATACACCATGTTGCTTTGAAATAAACTAATTTTCTTATTTAAAGAAACATGTTGACTGTAATTACCTGTCTGGACTTGAAGTACGTTGCCATGGGAACTTGCCATTATCATTACATTTCGATACAAAACAAACGTGAACGCACTATTAGGTAGACGCTAAACCGTCCTCATAATCAATATCAGTACCAGGAAAACACTACCCGTGAAGATCCGGGTTAGAATATTGATCTTCAGTAACCCATGTCGTAAGAGGCGACTAAAGGGATCGGGTGGTCAGGCTCGCTGACTGGGTTGACAAATGTCATCGGTTCCCAATTGCGTGGGTCGATGTTCATGCTGATCATCACTGGATTGTCTGGTTCAGACTCGATTATTTACATACTGCAGCCATATATCTGGAATATTGCTGAGTGCGGCGTAAAACTAAACTCACTCACTCACCAGGAAAACACGATAAAACTTCTTTTGAAATTGTTGTGTATATCTGTCAAAATGCGGATGTGGAGAAGCGGTTTAACGTCTCTGGAAATCCTGGAAACCATTCCACAGTTGTTGAGCTCTTGCCCGGTGTGAAGAACATGGCATGTTGCAGTATGTACCCATGACCTGTTTAGCTCAGAAGGTTTTATGCAGTATTCTTGATATTACATTTTGGTATACAGTAAAACATTGTTGTGTCGGTCTTGTATATGTCGAGCCTACAGCTGTCTCGAAGTAAAACCAAGCCCTACGTATTCCTCATTTTGACACCCGTGAAGATCCGGGTTAGAATTGGTCTTCAGCAACCCATGCTTGTCGTAACGGGATGGGGTGGTCAGGCTCGCTGACTTGGTTGACAAATGTCATCGGTTCCTAATTGGGCAGATCGATGCTCATGATGTTGATCACTGGATTGTCTGGGCCAGACTCGATTATTTACAGACCGCCGCCATATAGCTGGAATATTGCTGAGTGCGGCGTAAAACTAAACTCACTCACCTCATATTAACATTATTTTCCGGTGTTTGACCGTTTGTCGAAAGTGAACAATGCTGATAATGGTAGACTACGTTCTAGCAGAAACCTGCAACAGGTCATTGCCGTAACAGAGGAGAACAGTCCCGTTGATCCAGACACTACCGCATGTCCGGATCACTGAGTTTCCGACGAGGCCTGTTTTAAGGTGTAATAAAACTTTCCTTAAAGCCTAGATGGACTCATTCTGTGAACATGTTTAAGTCATGTTTATTACAACCAATTAAATACAATCAGGAACTAAATCACAATTCATGTCACGGGACTTCACGACAAGGAGGTTCATTTCACCCCATGTCCTTCGTGTTCAATACGTTGAACAAAGAGCGCCATCAGCAAGTGAGTACTATTAGAAACCCTTCTATGACTACTAGCTGCCAGTGTCTTGTGACGTCATGTTGAAGGTTAAGTTAAGGCTGGTTATCATTAGATGAACATTTGATAAATGAAGAAATTCACATCGCTGATCGGATGCATTTGGTTTGCTGATAGCCACATTTAACTTCCGTGTATGTTCAGCGGCTTATGAAGGGAATTTTAGGACATAATCTGTCAAAGTTAGGTAATACTGCTGAAACAAATATCTGCTCATGATATAGTCCCAGTTGTACAATCGACTCTGCTTTGGGCAGAGATTTTTAAAATATTTTTTTTATCTGTTTTTATTCCATTTTAAGTTGCATGTACAGACAGAAGTGTGACATGTGTTGACATTTACATCATAAAGTTAGTACAAAATTGTATACACATATGAGGGTGTACATATATAGATAAATATTATTACTGCAGTGGACACAATAGTTTGAGTAGGTCAAACTGCATGTGTGCTAAATTAAAATGTCAGAGTACCGTATCTAAGTGTTGCCATATCCTAGTAAAACAACTAAAGTTATTATTTTTCATTGCAATAAACCTTTCGATATAGCATATGTCTTTAAATAACTTGAGAAATTCTGCAAAGGATACATCTTGCTGTTTAAGGCTTGAAGTATAGATTAATCTTTTTGCAAGTATAGTCTGTTTGCAGTGAAAACGTACCGATGAATTTCACTTTAAACAAAAAAGTAAATCCAATAAAGTGAAATTAAGATTGCAAATCCTCATAATTTTTCCTTGCCAGTTGGACATTTAAGTCTCAGAATTTTATTCAACTTAGGATAAAAGTTGTTTAAGAAACGATCATAGTTTCAAATCGCTATAATTGGTTTGTATTACAAGGGGGTAAGCACAATTGAATGAAACCCCGAGAACAAGAAGGGTTGGTTTCTACGGTAGTCTAAGTTAACGCTCATGACGCACCGCACGTGCATTTGTTTCACTGTTCCAACTACTGCGCGTAATTTTAAAGTAATTTTCCTATAGAATATCCTCCAAGCAGATAGAACGTCTCTCTAGTAAGGATTATCATGGTCAGATAAACAGTCAACAGCATTGGAGCCAAGTGAGAATATATGAATTACAGGAAAGATGTTTATCGATTCTTTATTTTTGCTCATATAGTTTTTCAGTGAGGATAATTTCAAAGCATTAATGAAACATTTTATTTCGACCATTCTGAGACCTCCAACTTGATAACCTCTGTTTATAGTTGATCTCTTTATTTTGTCGTTTTTATTTTTCCATAAAAATCTATATATTGTTTTGTTGTGTTCTTTAATAAAATGTTTTAGGTGGGTTGGGCAGTGCAGAGAAAATGTGTTTTAATAACAGTGATTTTTCCAATAAGAGTCAAATTTCTTCTGCGCCAGTTGGCAAGTAATCTTGGGCATCAGAGCGAATGTAAACCTTAGAATATGACTGCAGCATAGTATTCTCATGCCAATAATGGTTGTCGACCCCTTCTATTTTTTTAATTGGAGAGGGGGGTGTGAGGTGTGTGTGTGGTGGTGTGGTGGTGGTGGGTGGGGGGGGTGACAATCATTAATGGCATGAGTATATTAAACTGCAGTTTGTTGTATTACGCCACACATAATGGCGACCCGTAAGCAATCGACAAACATGTAGTAGATGTGTAACTGGGGACCCTTCACTGAGTGAGTGGGTGAGTTTAGTTTTACGCCGCATTCAGCAATATACCAGCTATAATAGCGGCGGTCACTCACTCACTCACTCGCTATTGATTTGGAATTGAAAGGCAGGAAATGGAAAGAAACCAGGAAAATATAGATTCGTACAAGGAAACATTTACACACTACATCACGCTGTGAGATCCTTTGTCCCAGTTGTGAGAGATATTTAACAGGCAGGGTGGGATTAGAGCACTTGACATACTTCTCATTGTCACTACTTCAAATGCCTTTCACAATCTGCATTTGACATATTGACAACGCTGGCAAAGCTTCTATTCATATATTTATTCAGTGTGCGGGATTTTGTATTATAGTCTGTGGTTAACAGCACCTTGAATATTATTTCATCGTCAGTTATTCCAGCAGGAAAGCACGAGGTGAAATAGGTGGGTTGTTTTTAAAAACCAAAAACCAAAGTGTAATACAACCGAGCACGGGCATGGTCCTGTCAAACGTTTTCCATGAAGAGTGAGGGAGTGTAGTTTTACGCCGTTTTTAGCAATATTCCATCAATATTACGGCGGGGGACACCAGAAATGGGATTTTTCGTGAAGAAACTACCGCAATGATATATAGTGGTACTTGTTAAGTATTCATTAAAAACCTCTGAAAGCGAAGCCATTACAGTGTTAAGAATATGTGAAAATATATTAAGATCCAATTTTCCGACAGGTGGCATGTTACATATATCAAAGACCCGTGAACATCCCTGTTATAATTGGTCTTCAGTAACCCATGCTTGTCGTAAGAGACACCTAACGGGATCGGGTGGTCAGGGTTGCTGACTTGGTGGACATATGTCATCGTATCCCAGTTACGTAGATCAATGCTCATGCTGTTGATCACTGGATTTTTTGGTCCAGGCTCGGTTATTTACACACTGCTGCATATAGTGTGGCGTAAAAAACAACAAACACAAACAAACCAAAATATATTATGAAAGTGAAACGGGCGATGTCGGTGTAGCATTGTTCATTGGAATTTGATGGGAAACTATTAACACAATGCTTCCCTGTATTTAAGTGTAAATTTCCGCGGCAGAAATAAATACATTGTTCGGGACAGTACGCTAACTCAGATCTGTGCGCCCAATTAAGGTGTAGGTAAATTGAACACTGTCCAACAACGACTGTCCCGATAAGAGGAAGTCACACATAGACATCTCTTCCCTTAATATCACGACCCGTGAAGATCCGGGTTAGAATACTGATCTTCAGTAATCCATGCATGTCGTAAGAGGCAACTAACGGGATCGGGTGGTCAGGCTTGGTTGACACATGTCATCGTATCCCAGTTGCATAGATCGATGTTCATGCTGTTGATCACGGAATTGTCTGGTCCAGAATTGATTATTTACAGATATAGCTGGAACATTGCTGAACAACAAACCAGCCAACCATATCACAACAATGGCTCATCTAGAAGCGTAATGCAAGTGTTCATAACGGTACGCAAAATATTACTGGTAAAATATGGTGTAGGTTATAAAGTGTCAACATACAGCATTATAAGATATTGTTAAAAATAGTATGCGGAAAATACAGGTGCAAGTAGCGGTTCCCTGATCCAAGAGATACTGTGAACGTCGATATCATGCTGGACGTGTATCGATAACCAAGGAAGCGCGTATTGGTATCATTTATTTAAACAATTAAGAGGTTTCTGAAATCCCATGGTTCGAGTTCCCTTCAAATTATTTCTCTGATATTAGTACTTCCTGTTTGGATTACTTCCGGGTTCAGAAAACCCGCTTTCCATGCAACAACACCTGAAATATTAACATCAAGCTTTGACACTATTAGAAGTGTCAACGATAATGTGATTATTCGTACTTCCTGTGAGATTATTCTCTTGTATTGGTCGTGTATATTGCCTTGAAATGGGTCAATGTTTCTGGTGGTGGAGGGAATTCCCGGAGTCTCGCCATGTATCTATGCGGAGTCAACTGTTAAAGAAATGTTCGGGTCCATATATAAACATTAAAACTCAAAATTCTTACCAGTAGGGAACCCACTTCAAAAGACGCTTACGAGACATAAGGCTCGGAGAAAACCGAACTTCAGGGCATGGCAGATGTTTCATTGGTTTGGTGAAAGTCTACTACGCGAAACTGACGGCCGTTGTCGCGTATGGAGACGTCGCAACGAGAAACATCACCACTGGAAGATCATGCAGCTAAACTCTTTGGTGGCTGATCCAGTGTGCGAAATAGTTTCCAATTTTTGCTAGCCAGTCTTAAAGTTACAAGCCTACAAAATAATTCACTAGTACGAAATTTGAATGTAGACACGGTTTGCATCATTTTTATCAGGCCATAATCTTGCATGATTTACAAGTGTGTTATAACTTAACACGTCGGAGAGACTGATATAAATTACCCCATAAAAATTCACTATCCATGTGAGGAATCGAAACCGGATTTTCGCTGTGACGAGGGAACGTTTTAACCACTAGGCTACCCCACCACCCCGAACATAAGTAACATACAAAACTACATTGAGACCGTAAATGTGAAGAAAGATAAGAAGCTCTGTGTCACTAGAGTTACACTGTAGTTGAGAGTACATCATTTTAACAGCATCTATTCATTTCAGGCATGGCAATGAACGAACTTCTCACAATCGTCACTCTATGGTTGATCGTCCCAGGGCTGCATTCACAGATGGATGATATTAACAGGTGCGTGTATGAAGTGAACGAACGTGATTTAGTTGCCAACTGTTCTAGCGGAAACCTCACTGCAGTCCCCCAAGGATTTGTTAAAAATGTGACTGTCATTGATTTGACAATGAATAAAATAACAAGCATCGGAAAGATGTCCTTTCCTTACCGTCTGAAGGTACACACGCTCAGTCTGCATCAGAATCTGCTTACTCATCTTGATGAAGGTTCTCTGAAGAATTTACCAGAACTTTCGAAACTTGACCTTGGAAGAAACAGGATTAACTTCACATTGTTACCAACAGGTCTCTTCAGAGGTCTTCCACTAAAACGCCTTTTAATGAGTAACATGAGTGGTATACTCAATGCGGAATACCCAGAGGATACATTTCTTGATCTCCATCAACTGCAAGAGCTCTCCATTGACGCTCCTCCAAACCCAACATTTGGTGTCGGATTTCTCAATATGACAAATTTACAAACTTTAACCATTAGCTTTTGTGAAAAGGAAAGCTTAAATACAAGTGCATTTGAAGTTTTCCAAAAGTTTAACCTTTCAGCATTTCAGATAAATGCATGTGATAAAGGGCAGGTAGATGAAAATATTACTGATATATTTCCCAATTTAGATATCTTAGACATTAGGGACACGGTCGGCACCGATCTACCCAAGCGATTGATGAGTTTAAAGAATTATGAAAACTCATCCATGCAACGAGTTTCATTCATAAAAAACGTGGGGGGAGATAAGGATCCTACTGAACAATGTAACATGTTAACAAAAAATGTGACACGTTATCTTATCACAATGTGTGTTTCAGAAGTGTATCTTATTGGTAACAAAATACGAATCATTGACAGAGGTACTTTGATTCAACCACCATTTTCCGAATGCCTTCGCTTTTTAGATCTCAGTCACAACATGATCCTCGATGAGTATGGGATACTTGAAACGCTTTACTTTTATCCAAATTTGGTCTTATTTCACTTTGAACAATTTTTGGAAGATCTCAAACAGGCTTATCATGAAGTGTTCCATTTCTATGATGCAAGTTCAATATTTCAAGACAAAATTGAGACTGTATGGCCACCACAAAACCCCGAAACATGTCTCTTCACTGTGGGTGCTGAAAAACGAGACAATGAAGTTATTCCACCAAATGAAAGTAGTAAAAGAGGGATTTATATTTTGCTATTTCCTCGAAACCTAACCTCGCTTTATTTTGCACCAGCATTAAAACCTTTTGCTAATATCGAACATAATCTGGGTTTTTTTGGCACTGAAAAATGGTCAAAAGTGCGTTTTTCCAACTGTTCGGTACGTGCAAAAAATGTCAAGTTCTTTGGACTGGAGAACCTTCAAAGTTTGGAAATTTCTGGCAACGGATTTACAGAACTACCAACAACATTCATGAAATCCTTCCCCAATATTCAAAATCTGTCATTGAACCATATCACACACGGATTTAGGAAAATAAGTGAAAACATAGACTCCGTATTGGGACACTTGGAACACCTTGAAAATCTGCAGCTTTTAGGTAATGGTCTTTCCGATTTGCCCAGAAATGTAGAGAACTTAACAAATATCAAACTAATAGATGTCTCGTATAACTCAATAAAGGAACTGAGTGTGGAAACAAGAACCAGACTAGACGCTATGGCTCAGAAGAAAAACGTATGGGTTAATCTTCGTGGTAATGTTCTCTCGTGTGGATGTGATTCTCTTGAATTTATTCTGTGGTCAATGGACTCAAAGGTAAATTTCGCTGACGATAAACATTACACGTGTCGAAATGATAATGGGACTATAATCCATGTAACAGATATTGCACATTCATTCATGAAAATTTGGAGAGAGTGCATTTCTTTGTTCTCACTTTTGTTTTCAATTTGCCTCGTTTTCCTATTCCTCTTAGGAGTTTCTCTAAGTCTTCATATTGCAAGAAATATCAATTTGATAAAACGATGGAGTGTCAGATGGTTAGGCTTGGACTTCCAGCGACATTTTAAGTATGATGTATTTGTGTACTACTCATCCAAGGAAGACCCTCAGTGGGTGTGTAGCACCTTGAGACAGAAGCTGGAAGATGAAAGGGAGCTTCGTCTCTGCATTCCAGAAAGAGATTTCGATCCAGGAGTCTACACCTGTGAGGAGGTTCTCGGTGCCATAAATCAAAGCTGGAAGACTATTATCTATCTGACCCAGACCTTCCTGGAGGACGAGCTATGCTCCTTCAGGCTTTCATCTGCTATTTATGTCGGTGAGAACCTGACGTCTGATAGATTCATCATACTGTACTCGGATGCAGTGTTCCGTCACCCACTTCCTTCTATCATTAACCAACTTCTGGACAAAGACAATAGGTTTCCTATAGAGAGGTTCCATGAGAGTTCATTATGGGATCAGCTTCACAGCAGGATCTTGTGTAAGGATTGACAGTTACATTGGCGTTTCTGTTTCCGAAATGCAAGTATCAATACACGATGTCAGTTAGAAAGACCCGAAGAATGAATCTTCAGTAACCCATGCTTGTCACAAGAGGCGCCTAACGGGATCGGGTGGTGAGACTCGCTTACTTGGTTGACACATGTCATCGTATTCCAGTTGTGTAGATCGATGCTTTTGCTGTTGATCACCGGATTGTCTGGTTCAGACTATTATTAACAGCCCGCTACCATATTGCTGGAATATTGCTGAGTGCGACGTTTAACAACCAGCATCCTTCCATCCGAGACAGTACCCTTTGTATGGCGTGAGTGTATTATAGATGTATAACATAAATAACGTAACGCAAAGAAATAATTTTTGTACAGTATTTTCTCTTTCGTAAATTATCCTCCGGTAAATTTGATTTGTTTTATGTATTAACTTTTTGTTTGTTGCTTTTTAGGGACCCATTGCTTTAGCTTTGACGATCCATGATCCTGTGATCTAGTGCGTCTGCATATGCACTGTATATATGTAACTTACGTACGTTCTAATAAAATTGTGAAGCCTTATTGATATGTTGTAGTACATTTTGCCGACACTAAAAACTGTAGACACATTTCTCTTATCAATTCCGTACTCTGACTCTGCAACTGGCAGGGAAACGACCCACCGCACTCACCCACCAATATATGATTTTGCTGGAATATTGCTGTACTCAACGACTCTGCTACTAGCAGGAAAACGACCCAGCTCACTCACCCACCGGGACGGTGGGGTAGCCTAGTGGTTAAAGCGTTCGTTCGTCACGGTGAAGACCCGGGTTCGATTCCCCACATGGGTACAATGTTTGAAGCCCATTTCTGATGTCCCCCGCCGTGATATTTCTGGAATATTGATAAAACCTTACTCACTCACACACCAATGTGAAGTGAATGAGTGAGTGAATGAGTTAAAAGTTAACGTTGCATCGGCATTATTTCGGTTGAACGCTATGATGTCATCAGTATTGCAGCTAAAAACATGCAATAAATGATCGCTTCTGTGCAAAATAATCCAGAGATGAACATTATGAGCAGCGATCTACGCTGCTGGGGCACGATGACATTCATCAACAAAGTAAGATGGCCTGACCACCGAGACCTGTTACTAACCTCTTACGACCATCATACGTTGCTCAAGATCAATTCCGAACTGGATCGTCACTGGGTACAAGGAAAACAACGCTTCCCAGTCCGCGTTAATGTAGTTGCATAAAAAAATGGCTATGCGTAAAAGGTTACAATTATCTGATCAGTGAGTGAGCGAGAGAGTGAGTGAATTTAGTTTTATGCCGCTTTTAGCAATATTCCAGCAATATCACGGCGGGGGGCACCAGAAATGGGTTTCACACATTGTACCCATGTGGGGAATCAAACCAGTGTCTTTGGCGTGACAAACGAACGCTTTAACCACTAGGCTACACCACCGCCCCTTATGATCAGTGACGACACCAGGTGTTCTCAAAACGGGGAACGCATATTTTGCTCAAACCCATGTACCCGCCAATGACACAATTAAAAAAAGTGGCCGTTGCTGTACTTCGCACCAGTACACATGCTATACACAAAACAAACATGACATTGACTTATAAACTTTAATAACAAAACTTCAGGACATCATACACGTAAGACAGGTTCATGATACGATGGGAAGGGGATAACACTGGACATACATCTTGGAAGAACACCTGAAACATTGATTGAGTTTAGGTTTACGCCGCACTTAGCAATGTTCCAGCTATATGACAGCGGTCTGTAAATAATCGAGTCTGGACCAGACAATCTAGTGATCAACGTCATACCGGGATACGATGACATGTGTGAACCAAGTCAGCGAGCCCGACTACCCGATCCCGTTAGTCGCCTCCTACGACAAGCATGGGTTACTGAAGATCAATTCTAATCCGGATCTTCACGGGTAACCTGAAACATGTACACCAGTATGTGAGTGACATAGGGGTGGGGAGCCCTGATGACACCTTGACAGCAGCGACGCATGGAAGCAATCAAACGTTGCACAACATGTTGTAGAATGTTATGCCACACAAACTGGAGTACCGCAATGCATCCCGCAGATGTTCGACTGGAGACGACGCCGGCAACAGGCAGGCCAGGGTAATGTGTGAACGTTGTGACGCTGCAGAAACCCGTGGAACATGGAACGTGTCGTTGTCATGCTGGAACAGTCCACCGTCGACGATCATGTGCAGGATGACGTGGTGTTGCAGGATAACGTCCAGAATGATACCCGTTTGCGTACCTGCCACAAGCACCAGAGCCGTGAAATCACCATGACTGAATACCGCCCACAACATTACACTTCCACCAACTAAACGATCGTTGCATGCAGGCTAGAGCATCACGTTCCCCTCAACGTCTATAGACACGTGAGCGTCTATCATCACGTGACAGGAGAAAACGAGGCTCGTCTGAGAACAAACATTCCTCTTCCTGGCGCGTGTCAATCTCTTCCTTTGTTGGCAACACTGCAGACACTCCGTTTAGTGACGTAGCGACAATCCCTGCCTCCTTTGTCGATTGGGAACTCTCATGTCGGAAATTCTTCGGGATATGTGTCGCTGTGGTAGCTGTCTTTCGATGTTCGGAGATAACGCACCCGGATGCATCGATCTTGAGCGACGGTGGTAAGTCTGTCTTTCGATGTTCGGAGATGACGCACCCGGATGCATCGATCTTGAGCGACGGTGGTAAGTCTGTCTTTCGATGTTCGGAGATGACGCACCCGGATGCATCGATCTTGAGCGACGGTGGTAAGTCTGTCTTTCGATGTTCGGAGATGACGCACCCGGATGCATCGATCTTGAGCGACGGTGGTAAGTCTGTCTTTCGATGTTCGGAGATGACGCACCCGGATGCATCGATCTTGAGCGACGGTGGTAAGTCTGTCTTTCGATGTTCGGAGATGACGCACCCGGATGCATCGATCTTGAGCGACGGTGGTAAGTCTGTCTTTCGATGTTCGGAGATGACGCACCCGGATGCATCGATCTTGAGCGATGGTGGTAAGTCTGTCTTTCGATGTTCGGAGATGACGCACCCGGATGCATCGATCTTCAGCTACGGTGGTAAGTCTGGAACCTGCCTTTGGCTTGTCAGTCACACTTTGAGCAGTGTTGTACCGTACCCATGATGGAGCGTCGTGACACGCCAAAGTGCCTTGCCACAGCTGGTTGAGTTGCTCCTGCTTGGAATCTATCAAATGATTGGACATTAAACTGAAACACATAAAAAGAAGCTAGAATTTCATTTTACTATCAAACCGTTAAAGCAGCAACGGTAAGATTGATTTATTGTTTGATGTTGTTTTCCGCCGCACTCAGCAATATTCCAGCTTTTTGGTGGAGTCTATAAATAGTCAAGTCTGGACCAGACAATCTAGTAATCAACACCATGAGCATCAATCTACGCAATTGGGATACGATGACATGTGTCAACCAAGTCAGCGAGTCTGACCACCCGATCCCGTTAGTTGCCTCTTACGACAAGCATGGGTTGCTGAAGACCAATTCCAGCTCGGACCTTCACGGGTACAAAGTTAAGAGCTATCATTACAAGGCTTTACCTATTTCTGAGGACCGTGCTCACTATGATCAAATATGAAAGAAAATGATAAAAGACGAGGCACAGTGCACCATATTATACTTCCCTCTCTTTATTTGGATTTAACTCTGAGATCTTTTCCTTGTTGTTATCACTGAATCCGATAGCAAGGCCACACAATCGAGGCTCGTTAATGTTCTGACATCCGAGAAAATATCTGTATGACATTTCAATTCCTTGTCCATGCGTGGGAAAGGAGCTTGAATTAAGACAAATAGTACTGAGAAACACTGTTGGTGTATTCCAAGGGCTTGACTAGTGTAAGTGCCAGTTATAGCATCTGTTTGACACTGACAGCAGTAAGCTATAATTAGAAACAAGAGTATGGGTCATGTGACCGGGAGGTGAGGCGAAGCGAGCCACGGGCAGTGGTGAGAGAGAGGTCGGCCGAAGCAGAAACCATACTAGCGTTCAGGCATAGGGCTACACGGTTTTCAAACGTATTACAGCGTAATTGAAAGGTTTTGCATTGTAAATATGAGTTGTAGCTGTAATGGGCCTGAATAAAGAAGTGGAACAACGTCCTGCGTTTGTGGAACCTACAACTGTGTTCAAATCAACTCAAACTTCGTAAATTTTCGCTGCGAATTTCTACAAAATTTCTGATAAGCAATATTCACTAATTCGCGAACACCTCGTGTTGGTGTTTTAGTGATTCATAAACACAAGCTCATGATATAGTCAGAGTGTTACTACAGTCGAGCACCGTTGTCTCGATATTCATGGGCCCAAGAAAAAATATCGAGTTATCCGAACTTCGAGACATCCGACCAGAGCATATCATCACATATCACTATGAAAGAAAACAAAACAAAAAGTAGATTTCATTTATAGTTATTTGTATGTACGTTTTTACTCACAGGAAAACAATTCCGGATTGCATATATTTTGGCCATTCAGCGTGTATGTATCAACTCTATCCACAGTGACATCAAGTAAACATTACTTGGTTGTACAACTGACACTGCTACCCATTAGACGATTGATTTGTCACGGAGAGTGTGCATTAATAATGAAATAAGACCCTGTTCAAAGTCAGACATCTCTGCTAAATGGAGCGTCATGTTTAAGATTTCACGTTAATTATGAACATGTGTTTATAATTCACCAGTGAGTGAATTTAATTTTACGCCGCTTTTAGTAATGTTCCTTAGTATAATGGTGGGGAACACCAGAAATGGGCTTCATGAATTGTACCCATGTGGGGAATCGAACCCGGGTTTTCGAGCGAACGCTTTAACCACTAGGCTACCCAACCGCCCCACATCGATTCGCAATGCACAGACAGTCGTACATCTATGTTAAAGTATGGGAGTTAAGGTCATGGAGCATCCAAGGTTGCCTGAAGATCTGGGCATACCTGTCGTAAGATCTGGGCATACCTGTCGTAAAGTCTTGGTATACTTGTCGTAAGATCTGGGCATATTTGTTTTAAGATCTGGGCATACTTGTCGGACCTTCTGGCTTGTCATGTATGCTCACTTAGCTGATGCATGTCACCGAATCTTATTTGTGTAGGTCGATGCTCATGATGTCAATCACTGGACTGTTTGGTCAACAACCGATTATTTAAGGACCTCTTTCATACAGCGGTAATATTACTCAGTGCGGCGTTGAAAATAAACCGAACAGCAAGAGGCGCCCGATCCACAAAACGTTCGTAGCACTATGCCAAAGTTACGAGGCGTCGTAACGTTACGAACGCTTTGTTATTTGGGACCCTGATCATTGGACCTGTTCCACATTTACTCCCGTATAGCCTACTAAATGTTTGTTCTGGTCTGTTAATTGAATGTACCATCGTACCTGAAGGTGTGTTACGTAGACCATAGCGAGAATCATCGGATATTCTGATTCAGACGCCATAATTCACAGACTGCTGTCAGTTAGCTGCAATAGTACAACTTAAGTGAGGCGCTTAACAACATTCGTAGTTACAGTGATTGAATAAATTTAGTTTCACGCCGCTTTTAGCAATATTCCAGCAGTATCACGGTGGGGGACACCAGAAATGGGCTTCACACATTGTACCCATGAGGGGAATCGAACCCGTGTCTTTGGCATGACGAGCGAACATTTTAACCACTAGGCTACTCAACCCCCAACAACCACACACATTTTACGACAAACTACGGTACCTGACGACCAATCATACACAGAATAGTATAGTGTCAGTGACTGGTTGTTCTCTACGTCACTTTGAACCCGTATAAAACGCCAATATTCATATCCTTTAAAAATTATCCTAGATTAATATCCTTGAAAAGGTGTTTCGAAATGGTTACATGTTCAATACATTGATATGGTTTACATGCAGGAGGGCTATGATAGCAAGTATAAAAGTGATGTTAGTCATCGGTAGTGTGACATGGTATGAATTAAACACTGGCCTGGAAAGTGAAACAAATTTGATTAAAGGAATATAAACGAAATGGTCAAGAAACGATTAAACAAATATAAACAAAATGTTCATCTAAAAAGGAATAAACAAATATATATGAAATGGGCTTTTAAGAAAGGATTAAACAAATATAAACGAAAAGGCAATTTGAAAAGTATCAAACAAATGTATACGAAATGGTCATTTAAAAAGTATTAAACAAATATATACGAAATGGTCATTTAAAAACGTAACAGTATTGAACGAATTTTCGGTCTGAAAGGTGAAACAAATCTGACATAAATTCATATTATTAGCAGAGGGTACAATATCAATGGATTCCTTTGTTTGTTGTTCAACGCTGCACTCAGCAATATTCCAGCTACATGGCTAAGGTCTGTAAATAATCGAGTCTGGACCAGACAATCCAGTGATCAACAGCATGAGCATAAATCTGCTCAGTTGGGATGCGATGACATGTGTCAACCAAGACAGCGAGCCTGACCACCCAATCCCGTTAGTCGCCTCTTACGACAAGCATGGCTTGCTGAAGACCAATTCTAACCCGGATCTTCACGGGTCAGTCTCAAAGGATATACGAAAATGAAAGTAAACACATGCAAAGTTAACCAAACAATCCACATTATACACACATATATAACAAATAAACATAAATATGTCCATTCAGGTGTCACGTCTTGTATGTGTCATGCTATCATTATTTTATTGATGACCACACATTTTAGAAAAATTCTCGTTTGACAAAAATGAAGGGTCAGGAAAGACAGGCTCCCCTAACTGTGTACTTACTGGTGGTCAGGAAAGACAGGCTCCCCTAACTGTCTACTTACTGGTGGTCAGGGAAGATGAAGATGTCAGCTGTCTAGATGTTCCGTCATCACCGAGAGCAACGTCATCAGTATTGCCACCTGGAAGTTGAAACCAACACTTAATACCTGTCTGACTTATTGTTACTGTATTATAACTACAATCCAACCAATCACATCAATTTGTATTCCGATTAGGGACCGCGGGGGTAGCCTTGTGGGACAAGCGTTCGCTCGTCACGCCAAAAGAACCAGGTTCGATTCCCCACATGGTACAATGTATGAAGCCCATTTCTTCCGTTCCCTGCCCTGACATTGCTGGAATATTGCTAAAAGCGGAATGAAACCTTACTCACTCATTCCGATTAACATAAACATGGGTATACATATCTCCCACAATATTAAGTTGGTCGAGGATTTGTTTACAATGACGTTGAGGGGACATTTTGTCTTCGCTGATAACCATTAGATGCAATTGGAATCCATACAAACAACAGGTATGTTGAAGGTGATAATTTGAGAATGGGAAAGTCTGGATTTCGTCATCCTCGATGATCTCCAGGGTATACGTTCCGATAAATCTCGACGTGGAGGATGGGATTATCGAGGATGAACATTTTGGAGGATAGTAGAAATAATGATCAGTCAATATGAAGTTACTGTTAACGACCATGTAATATTTTTCAATTAAAAAAATTTTTGTCATTTCATTCAATACATTGATTGCATTTATTTCATATTTCATTCCTCATTAATCCCCACATGGGTACAATGTGTGAAGCAGGTGTCCCCCGCCGTGATGTTGCTGGAATATTGCTAAAAGCGGCGTAAAACAAAACTCAGTCAGTCAGTCGACAGAACAGGAATCACTAAATATACCTGGACGAAACCAAACAATTATAAATAAAAAAAACCCAAACATTTTGGGTCTTTTTGACAACTGTAATAAAGTAGCACATGCATTACCAATCTTGATTCCCTTCAGGCGTGTTCTCAAGCATTCCTTTCTAAGTCTCCTGCCAGAAGGTTGGACACTGAAGCAAAGGGCGCTGTCGTCCCACTGCCAGTACGGATCAATCGCCTGGACCTGCAACAGGAACGTGTACAACTTCAGCATTCACCGGAGGTATCATCATTACTGGTGAGTGAGTGAGTTTAGTTTGAAAGGTTACATTGAAACATACAAAGTCTACGACAGAGAATGTCGGGATTTTCTGCCAGAAGAGATATTGGCCTGAGCGTAAAATGAAAAAAAAAATGAAAGTATCTCTAAAATAACTGACATGACTGACAAATATGTAGACTGTGCGATACGTGATGAGGTGTTTGAATCATACTGAGTAAGACGTGGTTCCACAGCCATATAGCTCGAATATTGCTGAGTGCGGCGTAAAACAACAAACCAAACGTCGCTCCGCGTGACGATCTTAGCGCTAGGGTGTCTAAGTCAACGCTATAATATATATGTTATTTCGGTCACTTTAGCGGTACAATCGCTTTTTGGAACAGACACTTTCTGGGTAAAATTTCTAATAAATTTATATAAAATCCAGGATCTGTTCCGCTAAGGTTTTGAAGCGCTGAGGTGATCTTAATTCCCTCACTTAAACATTCGACCGTTTTTTAGCAACGATCGCCTTGTGGAACGGGTCTAGAAAATCAAAATTATATATTGATAACAATGAGATATAATGTATGTGGAGAGTACTCAATATGCAAGGAATATAGTTCAATTTCCTTTAATAAGATTTGTAATGCGCTTTGTCAAGTGGTGCAGGTGCCCGCATACCCGGGTGAGGTATTACTACATATTGGAGTGAGTGTATGGTTTTTACGCCGCTTTCAGCAATATTGTAGCAATATCATGGCGGGGGACACCAGAAATGGGCCTAACACATTGTACCCATGTGTGGAATCGAACCCGGGTCTTCAGCGTGACGAGCGAGCACTTTAACCACTAGGCTAGCCCATCGCCCACTTCATATTTGAACATTATATAGCAGTACATTACACAGCGTCAGCTCCGGGAAACAAATACCGTCTCCCGCCCTTCCTGGTACGCCACATTGGACATTGGACACATAACATTTAGAAGAGCTCAATGTGGCATTCAGTTCAAGGAACATTCTTATGCAGTCATGCCATGGGTGTGTAAATATTTACTTGTGAATTTCCTGGTTCGCAGCGATATTATCTGGTTGATATGTGAGTTACTATAACTTGATCAAGAGAAAAATTTCACAATAAACAGGGTCGGACAGTGCAAAGTGAGCAATACTCTTTCAGAGGCCGTTTCGGCTTGGTTTGATGTTTAACGCCGCACTGGGCAATATTCTATTCTCCGACTTGACAATCGAGAGATTGATATCATGAGCAACGATAAGTGTACGATGAGTAACTGACCCTAAGCACACGATGTATTAAAATGCTTGTGACAGTACACACTGTGGTTGGTTTTTTAACGCTGCACTCAGCAATATTCCAGCTACATGGTGGCGGTCGGGAAATAAATTGAGTCTGGATCAGACAATCCAGTGATGCACAGCATGAACATCGATCTACCTAACTGGGATACGATGACATGTGTCAACCAAGTCAGCGAACATGACCGCCCGACCCCGTTAGTCACCAATTCTAACCCTGATTTTTATGGGTTCTGTGGAAAAGAGACCAAATCTAACCCTGACTTGTACTTAGACAACGTTGACCTTAACCACAAGACGTCCCGAGTGAGTGAGTGAGTTTAGTTTTACGCCGCACTCAGCAATATTCCAGCTACATGGCGGCGGTTCGAAATAATCCAGTCCAGTTTGGACCAGACAATCCAGTGATCAACAGCATGAGCATCGATCTGCGCAATTGGGAACCGATGACATGTGGCAACCAAGTCAGCGAACCTGACCACCCGATCCCGTTAGTCACCTCTTACGACAAGAATCAAGAAGCCCCGAGGCCTGTAACGATCGCCATAGCGGATTGAAAGGATGTATTGCAAGATGGCGGTGTAACGATAACGATGAGGACGGGGAACAGATGTGATGGATTGAAAATATGTGGCTACTGGTGACGATGATGTCATGAACGTGATGCTGCTTCTGGTTGGGAAACAATTTGGAGAAAGATGACCACGAAACGATTGTGTTAATGATGATAGTGATGACGAGGAGGGTGTGATAGACTTAAATATGTAGCTACATGTGACGACGATGACATGAACGTGATGCTGCTTCTGGTTGGGAAACAATTTGGAGAAAGATGACCACGAGACGATTGTGTTAATGATGATAGTGATGATGAGGAGGGTGTGATAGACTTAAATATGTAGCTACATGTGACGACGATGACATGAACGTGATGCTGCTTCTGGAGGGGAAACAATTTGGAGAAAGATGACCACGAGACGATTGCGTTAATGATGATAGTGATGATGATAGTGATGATGATGATAGTGATGATGAGGAGGGTGTGATAGACTAAAATATGTAGCTACATGTGACTAAGATGACATGAACGTGATGCTGCTTCTGGAGGAAAGGAATTTGGAGAAAGATGACCACGAGACGATTGTGTTAATGATGATAGTGATGACGAGGAGGGTGTGATAGACTTAAATATGTAGCTACATGTGACGACGATGACATGAACGTGATGCTGCTTCTGGTTGGGAAACAATTTGGAGAAAGATGACCACGAGACGATTGTGTTAATGATGATAGTGATGATGATGATGATGATGAGAGAGGGTGTGATCGACTAATATATGTAGCTACGTGTGACGACGATGACATGAACGTGATGCTGCTTCTTGAGGAAACAATTTGGAGAAAGATGACCACGAGACGATTGTGTTAATGATGATAGTGATGATGAGGAGGGTGTGATAGACTTAAATATGTAGCTACATGTGACGACGATGACATGAACGTGATGCTGCTTCTGGAGGGGAAACAATTTGGAGAAAGATGACCACGAGACGATTGTGTTTATGATGATAGTGATGAGGAGGAGGTGTGATAGACTTAAATATGTAGCTACGTGTGACGACGATGACATGAACGTGATGCTGCTTCTGGAGGGGAAACAATTTGGAGAAAGATGACCACGAGACGATTGTGTTAATGATGATAGTGAGAGGAGGAGGAGGGTGTGGATAGACTTAAATATATAGCTACATGTGACGACGATGACATGAACGTGATGATGCTTCTGAAGGGGAAGGAATGTGGAAAAAAAGATGACGACGACAGCGACAGCGACGACGACGAAGTCGTTGATGATTATAATAATGACGATGAGGTGGAGGGTGTTATAGATTGGAAATATGTAGCTTTAGGTAACAACGATGTAATGAACGTGAAGATGCTCCTGGATGGGAAAATATTTGGAGAAAGATGACAACGACGACGATGATAATGATGATGATGAGGGGGAGGAGGAGGATTATGTGATAGATTGGAAATATATCGCTACATCTGACGACGATGTAATGAACGTGATGCTGTTTCCGGAAGGGAATTAATTTAGAGCGATACGACGACGACAATAATAGTGATGATGATTATGATGATGATGCTGATGAAGAAAAGATGATGATGTTGATGAGGCGGAGGAAAAAGGAAGATGTAATGGACTGGAAATATGCTAGCTTCATCTGACGACGATGTAATGAACGTGAAGTTGCTTCTGGAGGGGAAAGAAATTGGAGAAAGATGACGACGACGATGATGATGAGGGTAGGAGAAGGAGATAGATTGGAAATACGTAGCTTCAGCTGACGACGATGTAATGAACGTGAAGATGCTTCTGGATGGGAAAGAAATTGGAGAAAGATGACGACGACGATGATGATGAGGGTAGGAGGAGGAGATAGATTGAAATACGTAGCTTCAGCTGACGACGATGTAATGAACGTGTTGCTGCTTCTGGAGGGGAAGAAATTGGAGAAAGATGGCGACGACGACATTGATGATGAGGGTAGGAGAAGGAGATAGATTGGAAATACGTAGTTTCAGCTGACGACGATGTAATGAACGTGAAGATGCTTCTGGAGGAAATAAATTGGATAAAGATGGCGACGACGATGATGATGAGGGAGGAGGAGATAGATTGAAATACGTAGCTTCAGCTGACGACGATGTAATGAACGTGTTGCTGCTTCTAGAGGGGAAAGAAATTGGAGAAAGATGACGACGACGATGATGATGAGGGTAGGAGAAGGAGATAGATTGGAAATACGTAGCTTCAGCTGACGACGATGTAATGAACGTGAAGATGCTTCTGGATGGGAAAGAAATTGGAGAAAGATGACGACGACGATGATGATGAGGGTAGGAGGAGGAGATAGATTGGAAATACGTAGCTTCAGCTGACGACGATGTAATGAACGTGTTGCTGCTTCTAGAGGGAAAGAAATTGGAGAAAGATGACGACGACGACGATGATGATGAGGGTAGGAGAAGGAGATAGATTGGAAATACGTAGCTTCAGCTGACGACGATGTAATGAACGTGAAGATGCTTCTAGAGGGAAAGAAATTGGAGAAAGATGACGACGACGATGATGATGAGGGTAGGAGAAGGAGATAGATTGGAAATACGTAGCTTCAGCTGACGACGATGTAATGAACGTGAAGATGCTTCTAGAGGGGAAATAAATTGGAGAAGATGACGACGACGATGATGATGAGGGTAGGAGGGGAAGGAGAAGGAGATAGATTGGAAATACGTAGCTTCAGCTGACGACGATGTAATGAACGTGATGCTGCTTCTGGAGCGGAAAGAATATGGAGAATTCTGCTGCTGCTGCATTGTCGAGGAAATGCAGTCGATGACGTTAATGCAGGAACTTACCTCCACCATATAGTGATCTGGTCTGATTTCGCCAAAGGTAACGGATCCGGACGTTGCATTGTTTCTGGCCAGGTCCGGAATCTGCAGTAGAAGATGGCTGTCAGTGAGTGTTCCCGGGACAGGCACAAGATGGGCAATAATGAGGAATATTGAAGAATAAACTTTCATCTATTAGGAGATGACTATTAGTGAGTGTTCCCAGGACAAGCCCAAGATGGAGAATAACGAGGAAATGGAATAACAAACCTTCTATATATGCGCTTGTTGTGTTTGCGTTCAGTGTAAATCACTATATTGATTAAATGTAGTATTCTAAAATTCTAATTGAAGTTTTGATGCTAATAAATGATGATGATGATGATGTGGTTTTGTATCCCGCTAGATTCCATTCCATTGACAGAAGGTGGGGGCTATCTGAGCGCAGTGAACGTTGGGACTGGTGGTGATTGAGTAGACAGGATAGATATGCTGGAGCCAATCCATGGTAGCACTTGTACATTAGGCACTGAACTTTGAATTTCAGTCTGGCTTCTACAGGAAGCCAGTGTAATGATTGTAGATTTGGTGTAATGGGCGAGAATTTGGACACTCTTGACACCATCCGTGCTGCAGTGTTCTGTACCTTCTGGAGCCCTTGTAGTAATGTTTTCTTCATTCCAAAGAGGAGGCTATTGGTATAGTCTAGCCGTGAAAGGACAAGGGATTGGATCAAGGTTTTTCAATGATAATTATAGTGAACAATTATCAAGTTCATTCGTGTGAATACGAAAACTAAATTTTTGCCATTCAAGGTTCTATTGTACGGAAGTAGAGTGTATACGGCTTTTGTTGTTGACTTCAGTGAAATTCATTATTTGAATGTACATGTAGTATTCTTAAATGCCATTGGACTTTTTATAATCTTCCCAGTAAATGTATCAAGTTCATTCATGTGTTTACAATTAGTTGAATGTAAACAAACACACAAGACCGTTACACCTTATATTGCTGAAAATGATATAAGGATGTGTCTAAATTCTAAACGAAACTCACACTGACTGTCTTCTATCAAAACACATTTTAAACAGGTCTAAGCACATGAAATGTCGTCTAACTGTCGTCTAACAGCCCAAATAAAACATAAATAGAGTATCTCCATAATTTAGATGTTTAGAATTTAAATGATTAGAGTTTAAAGTCAATGACCAGGAAAATGACATTTGGAAAAGCGTAAGTGGAAGGGTGAAAGACTGCAACTCAAAAGGATGCAAGGTCCTATCCTGGCAAGGTATGATATAAATCATCACTACAAACAATACTCAAGGTCGTATCCTGGCAAGGTATGATATAAATCATCACTACAAACAATACTCAAGGTCGTATCCTGGCAAGGTATGATATAAATCATCACTACAAACAATACTCACGGTCGTATTCTGGCAAGGTATGATATAAATCATCACTACAAACAATACTCAAGGTCGTATCCTGGCAAGGTATGATATAAATCGTCACTACAAACAATACTGAAGGTCGTATCCTGGCAAGGTATGATATAAATCGTCACTACAAACAATACTCAAGGTCGTATCCTGGCAAGGTATGATATAAATCGTCACTACAAACAATACTCAAGGTCGTATCCTGGCAAGGTATGATATAAATCGTCACTACAAACAATACTCAAGGTCGTATCCTGGCAAGGTATGATATAAATCATCACTACAAACAATACTCACGGTCGTATCCTGGCAAGGTATGATATAAATCGTCACTACAAACAATACTCAAGGTCGTATCCTGGCAAAGGTATGATATAAATCGTCACTACAAACAATACTCAAGGTCGTATCCTGGCAAGGTATTATATAAAATCATCACTACAAACAATACTCAAGGTCGTATCCTGGCAAGGTATGATATAAATCATCACTACAAACAATACTCAAGGTCGTATCCTGGCAAGGTATGATATAAATCGTCACTACAAACAATACTCACGGTCGTATCCTGGCAAGGTATGATATAAATCGTCACTACAAACAATACTCAAGGTCGTATCCTGGCAAGGTATGATATAAATCATCACTACAAACAATACTCAAGGTCGTCGTATCCTGGCAAGGTATGATATAAATCATCACTACAAACAATACTCAAGGTCGTATCCTGGCAAGGTATGATATAAATCATCACTACAAACAATACTCAAGGTCGTATCCTGGCAAGGTATGAATTATAAATCGTCACTACAAACAATACTCAAGGTCGTATCCTGGCAAGGTGTGATATAAATCATCACTACAAACAATACTCAAGGTCGTATCCTGGCAAGGTATGATATAAATCATCACTACAAACAATACTCAAGGTCGTATCCTGGCAAGGTATGATATAAATCATCACTACAAACAATACTCAAGGTCGTATCCTGGCAAGGTATGATATAAATCGTCACTACAAACAATACTCAAAGGTCGTATCCTGGCAAGGTATGATATAAATCATCACTACAAACAATACTCAAGGTCGTATCCTGGCAAGGTATGATATAAATCGTCACTACAAACAATACTCAAGGTCGTATCCTGGCAAGGTATGATATAAATCATCACTACAAACAATACTCAAGGTCGTATCCTGGCAAGGTATGATATAAATCGTCACTACAAACAATACTCAAGGTCGTATCCTGGCAAGGTATGATATAAATCATCACTACAAACAATACTCAAGGTCGTATCCTGGCAAGGTATGATATAAATCGTCACTACAAACAATACTCAAGGTCGTATCCTGGCAAGGTATGATATAAATCGTCACTACAAACAATACTCAAGGTCGTATCCTGGCAAGGTATGATATAAATCGTCACTACAAACAATACTCAAGGTCGTATCCTGGCAAGGTATGATATAAATCATCACTACAAACAATACTCAAGGTCGTATCCTGGCAAGGTATGATATAAATCATCACTACAAACAATACTCAAGGTCGTATCCTGGCAAGGTATGATATAAATCATCACTACAAACAATACTGAAGGTCGTATCCTGGCAAGGTATGATATAAATCATCACTACAAACAATACTCAAGGTCGTATCCTGGCAAGGTATGATATAAATCATCACTACAAACAATACTCAAGGTCGTATCCTGGCAAGGTATGATATAAATCGTCACTACAAACAATACTCAAGGTCGTATCCTGGCAAGGTATGATATAAATCATCACTACAAACAATACTCAAGGTCGTATCCTGGCAAGGTATGATATAAATCATCACTACAAACAATACTCAAGGTCGTATCCTGGCAAGGTATGATATAAATCATCACTACAAACAATACTCAAGGTCGTATCCTGGCAAGGTATGATATAAATCGTCACTACAAACAATACTCAAGGTCGTATCCTGGCAAGGTATGATATAAATCATCACTACAAACAATACTCAAGGTCGTATCCTGGCAAGGTATGATATAAATCATCACTACAAACAATACTCAAGGTCGTATCCTGGCAAGGTATGATATAAATCATCACTACAAACAATACTCAAGGTCGTATCCTGGCAAGGTATGATATAAATCATCACTACAAACAATACTCAAGGTCGTATCCTGGCAAGGTATGATATAAATCGTCACTACAAACAATACTCAAGGTCGTATCCTGGCAAGGTATGATATAAATCGTCACTACAAACAATACTCAAGGTCGTATCCTGGCAAGGTATGATATAAATCGTCACTACAAACAATACTCACGGTCGTATCCTGGCAAGGTATGATATAAATCATCACTACAAACAATACTCAAGGTCGTATCCTGGCAAGGTATGATATAAATCATCACTACAAACAATACTCAAGGTCGTATCCTGGCAAGGTATGATATAAATCATCACTACAAACAATACTCAAGGTCGTATCCTGGCAAGGTATGATATAAATCATCACTACAAACAATACTCAAGGTCGTATCCTGGCAAGGTATGATATAAATCATCACTACAAACAATACTCAAGGTCGTATCCTGGCAAGGTATGATATAAATCATCACTACAAACAATACTCAAGGTCGTATCCTGGCAAGGTATGATATAAATCATCACTACAAACAATACTCAAGGTCGTATCCTGGCAAGGTATGATATAAATCGTCACTACAAACAATACTCAAGGTCGTATCCTGGCAAGGCAAGGTATAAATCATATAAATCTCAAGGTCGTATCCTGGCAAATGAATACACTACAAACAATCTCACGTCGTATCCTGGCAAGGTATGATATAAATCGTCACTACAAACAATACTCAAGGTCGTATCCTGGCAAGGTATGATATAAATCGTCACTACAAACAATACTCAAGGTCGTATCCTGGCAAGGTATGATATAAATCGTCACTACAAACAATACTCACGGTCGTATCCTGGCAAGGTATGATATAAATCGTCACTACAAACAATACTGAAGGTCGTATCCTGGCAAGGTATTATATAAATCATCATTACAAACAATACTCAAGGTCGTATCCTGGCAAGGTATGATATAAATCGTCATTACAATTCACTACAACAATACTCACGGTCGTATCCTGGCAAGGTATGATATAAATCGTCATTACAAACAATACTCAAGGTCGTATCCTGGCAAGGTATGATATAAATCGTCACTACAAACACTACTCAGTCTTCACTATCTTCAGAAAGAGATCCAAACACAGGCCAAAATAGCTGCATATATGACATAAGTAAGTTTGGGTGTGTTTTGCCTATAGTTTTACACCCCTTTTAGTAATATTTCAGCAATATCACGGAGGAGGAGCATCAGAAATGGGCTTCACATATTGTACCCATGTGGGGAATCGAACCCGGGCGTTCGACGTGACGAGCGAACGCTTTCACCGCTGGACTACCCCACCGTCCGCTGTTGTCTTAAGAAAACTATCTGAACCATTGAAAGTGTTGTACATAATTCTTCATGCTGTACTTACTATCGTACTTCTGAACGTGATCTTCAAATCATCACATGGTTTGCTACTGAAGCAAATCAATGCTTTGGATCATCGGGGCTCGTATACGAGTTGTCATGTCATACATTGTTCCGTTCACAGAAGCAGTACAAAGTTACCAGGTGTTCGTAAGATGGTGCTGATCGTAAATTATACGTTTTTCAATCTGCCCAAGATGAAAATTGACGTTTTTTCACGACGATTACTGATCTGTGGTCCCGTGAAGATCCGGGGTAGAATAGGTCTTCAGCAACCCGTGCTGCCACAAAAGGCGACTATGCTTGTCGTAAGAGGCGACTAACGGCATCGGGTGGTCAGGCTCGGTGACTTGGTTGACACATGTCATCGGTTCCCAATTGCGCAGATCGATGCTCATGCTGTTGATCACTGGATTGTCTGGTCCAGACTCGATTATTTACAGACCGCCGCCATATAGCTGGAATATTACTGAGTGCGGCGTAAAACTAAACTCACTTACTCACTCACTGATCTGTGACAGCAACTTGAGAGACACTTGCAGCTGCGAAATGACTTAATGCTGTACGTTGCCAGGCTATACTTGCAACATGCCACCCATTAAGGTCCCGGTTGGAATCGGTCTCCAGGAATCTAGTGTTTGGTAATAGAGTACTATGGTGGTCGTAGGAGGCCAGTGAATATTTTTCGCACGATCTGCGCATGCGCACTGCGAGTTGAACAGTTATGTGAAACCAACGAATTAACACCCTCCTTACCTTGTTACACGGTGTTGGCCTCTCCGTGTCCAGTATACACGTCTTCAGTGGGTTATGTAAGCTGGACATCGTGTACAAAGACACATCAAACTTCCCAAAGCGGAAACGGGCTGGCGCAAGGGTGAAGGTCACTGTCAGTTTGTAGCCCCGAAGTACAGAGTTTCTGGAGGATGTGCACGTTATCACTGGACTCCAGTCGGCTGCCGTCAATTGTCTGTCATCACATTACATATTCATTGTTCATAGTTTCAGGTGAAAGCATCTACTGACTTTAAGTGAGTGAGTGAGTTTAGCTTTACGCCGCACTCAGCAATATTCCAACTATATGGCGGCGGTCTGGAAATAATCGAGACATCATGAGGATAGATCTGCGCGATTGGGAACCGATGACATGTGTCAACCAAGCCAGCCAGCCTGACCACCCGATCCCGTTAGTCGCCTATTACGACAAGCATGGGTTACTGAAGATCAATATTCTAACCCGGACCTTCACGGGTATCATCACTATAAATGTCATAACAAATATATATATTTGACGCACACTTTCTCACTACACAACCTGTTACGTGTGTTACATAAGACTACCATGTAAAACACCTTGAGTATTCATATTGATAGAACCGCCTCCGTGGTGTAGTGGTTAGAGCGTCCGCCCGGAGAGCGGAAGGTCGCGGGTTCGATCCCCGACCGCGTCATACCAAAAGCTGTTAAAATATGGTACTTGTTGGTCCTTGCCTGGCGCTCGGCATTAATGGGTACAACAAGGACTGGTCGGCTCGGAGTCAGTATAATGTGTCTGAGTGGGGTATTCATGCTTCACAGCGGCATGGTATCTCAGTGGGCTAGCATTATAAAACCAGCTTCAGTCTGGGCTAGTACAAGCAGCCGCACATACACATACACACGCATGCACGTCGTCATATGAGCGAAATATTCTCAAGCACGACGTTAAACCCAATTTCACCTCACCTCACCATGTAAAACACCTTGAGTATTCATATTGATAGTGATTGATAAAAACGTGCAACTGTATTGACGGAACTGACAGCGATAGCTGTTATGATTTAGGAAATGTTCTCTGACACTGTTGTATATACCTGACACCTGAACAAAGTTGTCGCCAACCACGACATGGTATTCTGTGATCAACGGAAGTGACGGGCAGTTGCGGTTTCCGCCAACTCTTTTCTATTTCCAATGACTGAAACTGCCCGTGGTGTTTATGGATAATCCGTGTTTGCGAAGTGGATTGGGTGGTCAGGCCAGTTGATTCCATGACGTATTCTAGTCAAGTGGATCAGCGCTGAGCGTGTCAGTCAATTGGTTGTCAATCACTCAATTGTTGACAGACCCACGTCATATACCCGGAATGTGGCTGAGTGTGGAGTGGAGCAGCAAACAAACCAAGGACAAATACCCATGGGAATACCCATGATGTTTCTAGGTTTGTCAGAATCATACCTGTGCTTGTTGGTTTCCCCAGCGGTAAACGTCTAAGTGAGTGAGTGAGTACTGTTTTACGCCGCTTTTAGCAATAGAACGGGGGCACACCAGAAATAGGCTTCACACATTGTACCCTACATGAATCGTACCAGGGTCTTCGCTGTGATGCTTTAATTAACCACTAGGCTACCCCACCGCTCCGTTAACGTCTAAGACTTACATCAGGTCAGACTTCTTAATATACCAAGCTGATACACACTGATACAGCTGGAATATTGTTCGAAGCGGCGTTTAAACTCACTCACTCACTCACTCACTCACTCACTCACTCACCCACCCACCCACCCACCCACCCACCCACTCACTCACTCACTCACTCACTCACTCACCCACCACTCACTCACTCACCCACCCACCCACCCACTCCACCCACTCACTCTCGTTCGCTCGCTCGCTCGCTCACTCACTCACTCACTCACTCACTCACTCACTCACTCACTCACTCACTCACTCACTCACTCACTCACTCACCCACTCACTCACTCACTCACTCACTGTCTGTTACCACCTGCGCCAGTGTTCGGACGGTGCTCACCTCTCTGTGAAGAAAAACATATATTAAGTTCGATGTAAGGAGAGTAACAAATAACAGGTATGTGTAAAGTATGCTGGTCACAGTAAGTGGTTTTCATATCGTTCATTATCGTTCATTCTAAGATGCCTAGCGGTTAGAACAATCGAAAAAACCCATTATCAGACAATAAAGGTATAGTTTTTGATGACGTAACAATTGAATGACGTTATCCCGTCACTGCGCCATTCTAGTGTGCCCCTCGTAATCGAACCATTTTACATTACGTCACAATGTAAGCGACGTCACGATGCATGTCTGTTGTCATCGCCTCGTACGGCCTCCTACAGTAAACTACTCTGTTTCGTCCAGTTTCTTGGTTTGCAGTTGCTTCACGCAGCTAACATCACTGGTGGGACATTACGTTTATGTTTTACCACGGTTAAAATGTGTCAATTCGACTCACAAGTTTTCAGCGACACGGTACCGTTCGCAATGTTCACATTCCCACAATGCAACCGTGAAATGTCGCTTGACTACTCAGCTTCATCTGGATGTACTGATCTAAACTTACGTTGGTAGTAGAAATGCGACGTTCATATTGCCCCATATGGTTTACGTTAATGACAGATGTAATTAAAATAATTCAGAGAAGATATTTAATCCGAACGTAAACCGTCATCAAACTGTTATCATTTCTTTTTTTCTGGTAACGTTCGTCTTAACGTAGGGGGCAGACACACCAATAGAACAGCGCGCCAGTTAGCCCTGTGCGAGGATTCTTAATTTAGGTTACCGACACCGTCGTTTGTTTTCTGCCTTAATTTAATCGTAATTGTCCTTAGAAAGTAGTAAATTTGGGATCTTAGAAAAGAAATACAGTTCACTCTACCACCATGTGTAGTGTAATAAAGCACATTTTCGCCCTAAACTATTATAACGTAAACCACTCGGACGCAAGCGTCCTCGTACTTTAACAATAATAGTTCAGGGCGAAAGTGTGTTTTATTACACTATACATGGTGGTAGAGCGAACTGTATTTCTTAATGACAATATCTGCTCGATGTAAAACCAGTAGGTCTTACTAATTTCAAAGTAAGTTGTTGTCATATCGTTCATGACAATATCTGTTCGATGTAAAACCAGTAGGTCTTACTAATTTCAAAGTAAGTTGTTTTCATATCGTTCATGACAATATCTGTTCGATGTAAAACCAGTAGGTCTTACTAAGTAAGTTTCAATATCGTTAATGACAATATTGTTCGATGTAAAACCAGTTCTTACTTTCTAATTTCAAAGTAAGTTGTTTTCATATCGTTCATGACCATATCGATCGATGTAAAACCAGTAGGTCTTACTAATTTCAAAGTAAGTTGTTTTCATATCGTTCTTGTTAATGACAATATCTGTTCGATGTAAAACCAGTAGGTCTTACTAATTTCAAAGTAAGTTGTTGTCATATCGTTCATGACAATATCTGTTCGATGTAAAACCAGTAGGTCTTACTAATTTCAAAGTAAGTTGTTGTCATATCGTTCATGACAATATCATGTAAAACCAGTATCTTACTTAATTTCAAAGTTGTTGTCATATCGTTCATGACAATATCTGTTCGATGTAAAACCAGTAGGTCTTACTAATTTCAAAGTAAGTTGTTGTCATATCGTTCATGACAATATCTGTTCGATGTAAAACCAGTAGGTCTTACTAATTTCAAAGTAAGTTGTTTTCATATCGTTCATGACAATATCTGTTCGATGTAAAACCAGTAGGTCTTACTAATTTCAAAGTAAGGTGTTTTCATATCGTTAATGACAATATCTGCTCGAGGTTAGACCAGTAGGCCTTACTAATTTCAAAGTAAGTTGTTTTCATATTGTTCACTGTATGAAATAATTTCCAAAGCAACGATTAAAGATCTGCATTAACTAGAAAAGAAACCGCTTCTTGTCACTGGTTTTATTCGACAAAACGACATAGCGATAAGGCGACAAATGGCCAAAATGTCGCGGTGTAACAGTGTCCGGCTTTGAGTAATTTGGACACATGTTGCTTGTTTTTGTAAAGACTAAACGCGATTTTCCTTATAGGATTCCATATCTCAAGTACTTACAGCTGATCTGAAATTTGCTTTTCCGAGATATTTAAATGATTTAGATGGACAGCCAAAATGACGTGTACAGTTCGCATTGGCCGATATGTTTTTGAAACAAGTTTAGGATCGGTGAATAAAAACAATGTCACGTTACCGTTTACTTCCGGTAGAGAGAAGTAGAGACTTTGGGGCCGCCGGGCAGGTGGAAGTGAGTACAACACTGCCTGATACAGGTACCTGGGTCCCGTCCCTAGGCCGGGGAATAGCTCCTGGAACTCCATCTGAAGGAGAGGATGTCATACAGATGTAACATATGTTATATTTGGGATCACACTTTCTTAGTACGTTTCTTAGGCATTGTGTATGCCATACAGATGTTTCACTGAGGGAGTGGATGAGTGAGTGAGTATGGTTTTACGCCGCTTTTAGCAACATTATAGCAAAGTCACGGCTGGGGACACCAGAAATGGGCTTCACACATTGTACCCATTTGGGGAATCGAACCCGGGTCTTCGGCGTGACGAGCGAACGCTTTACCCAGTAGGCTACCCCTACACGCGGCTTACGTGTGATGGCACTGCGTCTGGTATGGTCATTACATGAGCAGATTAGCAGGTGGACATTCTCATACCTGTCGCATCCTGCGTGAGACAGACTCGCGCATTTTACCTCTCAAAACTCACGCATTATTGAATTTTAAAAAAATACCTTTTTTCAACAACGTAACATACTATTTTACTCAGTCTGTCTCACAGTCCCTGAACCATATCATTTTCCCTACAGCCTTGCCCTTCCTGCAATGCTGAAGGCCTAAATTAAGCAAGTCCAGATCTCCCCAGGTTCTGAATCCCTGAGGTTCCTTTTCAATTTAAATGAGTTTATTTGTTACAATCAAAATTATATATATTCATAGACTAAGCGTTAGTCTATATTTTACTAAGAGAATATTGTTGCAGAACGGAATTGTCCGGATTATATGAAAATTATGAAATCTTTTGTTATTGTTTATGTTTTTAATTGGCTTAGAAACTCGCATCAAATGACATAGAAACCATCCTTAAATAACCTACAAACACACACCTCAGCTCCT